CTTTCACAATTTGTCAACTCTCGTATCTTACCTATTCTACTTTACTGCTCCCCACTAGTCTTTCCTGGGTTACTGAAAAAGGACTATACCATCCTGAGAAGGATGTTGAAGGTAGTTAGTAGGACCAGCGGTGTAAAACTCAGTCAGCTCGTCACTACATTAGTGGATAAGCATCTGAATACATGCGAGAAATGGACTAAAACCATACTCTCTGACCCCCAACATCCCCTCTATTCCCAACTCTCTCCCTGCATCTCATCAGGTAGAACCAGAAATCAGTACAAAATAATATATGCTCGTACAACCAAGTATAGGAACTCAGCGATACCATATTTGGCCCGTGTTCTAAGTGACAGAGACAGTGTTAGGGGTGAAACTTATGACTTGCTTTGTTGTTAATAACATAATTTTGGCCCTTGTTATTTCCCCCTTATACTCTCTTATTTGTACTCTATAGTGAACAACCTTCTTATACATACTTAGCTACTTAACATTATTATCATTGGCTTACTTTTTGTACTTTATTCTATTCCTTCTTTTGTATATTTACTGGGTCCGACTATATTATCACTATGATTATTACAAAATTGTCCTGTTATTAACCATCATGTAATATTAATTTTTGTGGTTGTTCTTTGTTTGGCACTATTTAACTGACAATCTTGTTTGTTATTGCCACTATCACCATCTTAAAAAATTTTGTATTATGCATGATTCCTCACACTACCACAACAAACACCGCATTAGTGCTGACAATAAAAAAACACAACCTGAAATGTTTGTTTTATGATTGTTTAGTGTTGTTCAATCAAATTAACTGATCATCTTGGCTATAAACATTCTTAAGAACATCTCATAATTTCTTGTATGATTATAGCTGTTACTGTCCACCACGCATACACATATCATAGCTACCACTACCAAATACTGAAATATTATTCATTATTGGTGCTTATCTTCCTTTCTACTTGGTATTTTTATTTGCATTTTTTTTGTTATTTTTGTGTTTCTTTTTGGTTTTTTGTTTTTTTTACATTTATTTTTTTGTAATACTCCTTTTAAATGTCCGATGAAATTAGATGGAATATTGTAGATATGAGCCGAAAATTCCACACTCTACCACAAGTACTGTTTCTGGAATAAAGCGAAATTGTTATGTTACTCTTGTGGAGCCAGCTACATAAGACGTCTGTCGAGAAACATTACCCGCCGCCAAGTTCAACAGCATCTGCCAGTATGGCTGAGGGGAGGAGAACGTAGATGTATTAATTCATTGGCATTGCAATATATTGTAGATACGGGCCACTCAGCATCTGACACATCATTTAGTATGGTCTGCAAAGTTTGTCAAAAGGGACACGAGTGCATTTGCGTTGTATAGCAGAGGCTTTTGCAATACATAACATAAAGGCAGAACTTTGTGTATAAAAACAATTTGATCGATCTCTCTCGTTACCCCATGGTAGTGAATTTACTATGTAATTCACTGTAACAACTTTGTTATCCTTCTTTATTCCGTATTCCAATTTTGTTTTTGTTTTATTTCATTTTACTTTATGTTATCATATTTCAACATTTTATCTAGTCTCTTATTCAGTTTAGATTTTCCCGTAGACTGATTGGACCATAGTGCTCAATCTCAGGTTTACATGTCGGCTTTTTGTGCAGATGTTTCCACGATGTATGATTATTTCACTTGAATTAAATTGGTGGATTGGGACTAGAAGCGGAATCCAGGATGCTCATGCCAATCTAAGGCCATGAACTTTGATTCAATCAGTCGAAGGGAAAGTACGAGTTGAATAATAAATACCCGTTTCACAATGAGTTCAGTGGATAACACTTTGGCGTTTGAGACCAAGGGCACTGAGTTAGAGCCTCATTGGGAACACCATCATTCACTGAGGAATGCAGGTGCATCTGTATGACAAGTCCTAATTGGGACGAAATACACATCCTAGATTCCACTGCTAGTCACCACCAACCCTATTGATTTTATCTAGTCTACTATTTTGAAAACATTTCACCCATCCTATATTTCCATCATATTATACTGACAGATTCACATTTCCAAATGTACTTTATTTCCCCCATCATCTATTTCCTACATGTCTATTGAGCTTTAAGTTGACCTCTATTTATTCAGTTATTCATTCATATATCTGATCAACTATGACTCATAGTCGTATACACCAAAATTCTCCTATTTTAGTATTTCCACTCATTGTCAAACTGTTAGTTTTCAATAAACCACATTATTACCCAACCAGCTAGTTGAATTCTATTGAAGTTTCATGGTTAAAGGTACTAAAAGAGCTGAAGCGCAACTACTAAACATCATGTAGATACCAGGTGCTTCGTTAATATCTTTAAATCCTTCAAAATAGAGACGATGCCGAGTTTATTAAAATTTGTAGGAGAAATTGTAGTCAAACGTTTTCGACCTAACTTATGTATCAGATAAGAACTTGTGAAATAAAATGGTAGCATTTTCTCATAAAAATGTGGTTTGCCTTGCTTTAACCAAAATGCATCAAGAGAAATACATATATGAAATATAATATTCTACTTTTATTCCTCAATACTATCAAGGGTGTACTGCAGTTACCGGACTGACTGTTTCAACATAGAAATTTACACCATAGTGCACCACTTCAAGTTGGAGCATTTTGTACAGTGCACGTATGTAGACAGAAGAGAGAGAAAAAGACATCCGAAAGAAAAGTATTAGACAAAAACGTGAAGGAGAGAGGATGGTGAATTGGAAAAACGCGACAGTTTAGTAGATAAGGGTTCTTAGAATCCTTAGGAACCTAACCAGGCAGTCTACAGATCCCTGAATAGCTTAGACTAATTGTCAATGACTTTATGGATTGACTTCAAGTTTTCGTATGACCACCGCTAACTCTCTTCCAACCTAATCCTTTGCCTGTTTACACTGTTCTTCAAGGAAGGCCATATCTCAACGTGCACAGCACATGTCCTATCCAATTCCCTCAGTTCATCTTCGCAACCTTTTCGGTTGACTTGCCTTGATTATCAAACACTCCTCTGCACTTTACCTCAATATTACTCACTATATTATACTGTGGTGAGAGCAGGCTGCTAGCCAAATTGGTAGACAATTATTTACGTCAATGTTTGTGTCGCAAATATTGGTCGTGCAAAAATATGAACAAGACTGATTCAACAACAAATCACAGCAGACCTGGCATAGGCAGATACAGTTAACAAATAGATGACCTGACATTCAAGAAACAGTCACAAAGAGATGCAAGGTTACCTTTCTGTGAAAAACAACCAATCAGAAGATTGTGTTTATTTGCTTGAATAAGCTGTTATAACGTACATGAAAATATATAAATACGTGTTGATTTCCTTCATAAAGGATCTGTTGCCTGACCCCTGTCTTCTGTTGTTATATTTGGTATCGCTGCCTACCGACAAATGGAAAGCCTATGCCCTGCAGTTTTTGATGGAGACACATGGATCTTCCGGTGGGACTTCGAGGCTTCTGCGATGATGCTGCCATTTGAGACGCTACTGGAAGGTCGGGAGAAAGCAGCATATGGAAGTGAGAGGCAAAATACCAACGAATGTGCGACAGGGTCAGGCAAACAGTTTCCAAAGTGGGAAGGACCATATATGGTCACTTTGAGATGGGGTTACGCAGAAAAAATCGCAATGGCAAACAAAGAGAAACGGTTAAACGTCAGCAAGCTCCATAAATGGATACAGCGAGACAAGTCAACGGTGACGCCCGCACCAAGAAGGCCGAACCAACTTCAGTGTGTGTGTGGTGAGAGCAGACTGCTAACCACTTCGCACGTGAGACAATGCCGAAATCGGTAGTAAAATACAACTAACCTTCTCATATCTTTCACTTTCAGTGTTCATGTCTCACAGCCATAAAGGAGAACAGAACGAGCTGTTGTACAGTGCACATTCCCTTTGATCGTTCGCCAATTTCAGTACACTATGACTGAACTAACTTCCAAAATAAGTGAATCGGTCAACACACTCAACCACTTCAATCTTAATCTCTAAGCAACAACCTAGGAAAGACCAATCCCCAACACTTTAAACTGAGTATACCAATCTATATGTATTTCTGAAAGTACAAATACTCGCATGATAGTTCATCTGTCTAGGTACTCAAAACCTATCCAAACAAAAAATTTAGGGGTTCAATAACAAAGAATTTTCTAGATTACAGACATAATGGTAACATTGTCAGGGCCCTTACCGCGGTCAGTAGGTAAACAAGCTATTCAACAGGTTTTTCAGATTACATTCTGTCAACTGGGTGTATATGAGCGAAATAGAATAATGGTGATTGTACTGAATCCACCGTGGTGGCATCTAGCTAACCCAGGTAACTACTATTATTACTATTTTACTTCATCTACGATTATCGTCATGCTGAATGGGTTTATTTAAGAAACAAAGTTTATCAGGAAGGCCCGATATATTTGACCAAGATTTTTTCGAACAATCCGATCACATAAATCCCTTTTATTTTTTTAAAATAATATTATAGCTTGACTCCACACAGTATTTTTGATACAAGTATGGAATTTTCAGCATGTAATATAGGTAGCCTAAATTTAGCGGACAGACAATGGATATCAGATATACATTGGTCGAGGATCGAACACTGGACCATGTGCATGGTCTGTGGGCGTCCTAACCGCTATGCCACCGACTTTACTATCCTGTTGGCGAGGTTTAAGAGTGAATCGGCCGGGTATCAAACCCAGGGAAACATGCATGGTTTGCAAACGTTCTACTGCTAAACCACCAAAGCTATCTCCACGATGTGTCCCTCTAACCATAGCAGAGTTGCCACACTCCATGTAGCACACAGAGATATAGAAATGAGTGAGGAAAAAGGGACTCAAACGGACTAAAATAATCGGGAGACGTTTCAAAAAGAATGATAAACTCTCATACACCATCTTTTAATATACTTAGTATTGAAAATAAAAAGTACAACTTACCGATGATATTTCACAAGTGTCTCTAACAACAAATCAACTGATATTCCTTTAAGAAGACTGCTATAAGAATGAACCAATCGATTCAATTTTTGCAAATGTAACAGAATAGCAACTAAATTTGGTTTAGACCATAAATCCCAGCCTAAAATTAAATGACAAACAAGAAACAGGACTTCCTCAGGTGGAGTTTGATTCGATTGACTACTGAACCAATTCTGTAAGGCATTTACATTCGATGTGGTTTGTTTATTTCTTGGCAAGTGGACAAGTACACGAAATAGATCATGGATTGCTGATACCACATGGGAATCAAAGCGTAATGGATGAAGCTGTAAAATAATGAAATAATAAATACAAGGATAAGATTATTGATACATTTTATTATTATTATTATCATTACTATTTCACCATAAGTTGATACCGGTTAGAGAACCATTGTGAAAGCAGCAGGGATGGCTGTCCGTTCTATTATGGGACTCCTCATTAGCACTCCCCACTGGGTTTCAAAATCAGGGGTCATCCGGTTACAAGATGAGCTCTCAGACTATTAAGCCACTACGAGCCAATTCAATGGCCCATGAATTCCAACTTCCTGTCAGCTCATTATCAAACCGTGCATCCAATCGAATCCCTTTTGGTTTGTTTATTAGATGTATCACACAGTGAAGAAACAGTATTATTATTTACTGGATGACAAAGTTTCAAACAAAATTTATTGTTCATAACCATATCATCAATTATAATCACAATATATATTAACAATACAAAGAATAAAAAGTGGTGTTTACTACCTGTTTCATGCCTAATACTGTTCTCATCAATAATTAGTTCTCCAAGTATAAGGTTTTTTACAATTGCTTTTAGTCTTACATGATGACAGGCAAGGGTAGAGTTGAGTATAGAAGGGGGTGCTCAATGCCTTGCATGAATTCAAGTGTCACATCCACAAACACACTAAGTAATTATCACAAGAATCTATGCTTTTCTTCCTGGTGAGAACGCGCTGACTGTATGTGTGAACATCATATTGCGAATTGAATCAGCTATCAATCATTCCGAATTGATGATCAATTCATGGCGACAATACAGGATAATTCTTCAAGTATCTAACAAAAATCGGACGTAAATTTTCCTCAGTTTACGAGTCATTTTTCTGAATACTATCAAGAAACACCTTTACAATTTACCTTCGATCACTAATGTGACACGAAAACTGAACTGGTAGAACGCTGGACCGATAAGTCGGAATCTCTGATATGAATCCTTCTAATAATAATAATAATTTTTCCTTCACGTTCCCAGTGGAACATAGGGCTCCAAGCTAGTGGCTTGAAGTTTCTGTAGCAGTGTTTAATTTTTACAGGATGGGGTTGCTAGCCTCATGCCCAACCTTTCCTCTTTACCAGCATTATTTCTGGCTCAGTGAGGTAAAGGAGTGCGCCGGCCGGCGATCGAACCCCGGACCATATGCATGGTCGGCGAGCGTCCTAACCGCTATACTACTGACGCACCTTCTACGATCCACATATTCACCACATATTCAATCAGTAGTAGTCTGAAAGTCTAAGACTGTCTCAGATAGTTTCATCGACAATGATAAAATATCCTTTTGCTAATTTGGGGTCAATTCAAATGGAATACAGGATTCCTACTTCGTCAAGTTTAGAACTCCTCAACTGAATATACCTATATATCTCGTGAGTATATTCTCAATACAATTCGAACCTAGCATCTATCGATCAAAATGGATGTTTACAATGAGATGACTGCTGAGTTCCAGTTTCAGTACGAACATCATCATTTGCAGGGGATGAAGATACATTTAGCCGACGAGCACCAAATACGACGAAATGCCCACCTTAGATTCTGCTGCACTCCACTATCAAATAAGTAAAATCATGTTAACTAATAGACATCACCGAAGTGTCCGTAACAGGAGCCAGTGTGTAAACAGAAACTATGTCGACTAATGTAAGTGTAGAACTCGGCCACTGTGGTAGAATGTAATTCCATATTAGGTAGGTTTATTTTAAATATCATAAAGTGATGGTGCACTACTAACAACTGGATGACGAGGTTTCGAGCATAAATTATCGCCACTCATAATCATATCAGTTATAATAATAATAATTATTTATTTATTATTTAATTATTTACTATTAATTAATTAATAATTAATAATTTCACCCTGTCCCACCCACCCCACTTCTGATTAGACCCAAGTGAATGCGATGCGATGGATCAGCTTATTTCCAGGTTATTCAACTCAGTCATTCTAGGTCTAGCTTACTTACTTTACTTTACTTCGGCTATCTCCTACGGGAGGATGAGCCGGCTTCATGAACGAGTTCATGAAGTTTCTTGGGAATTTGGTACGAGTGATGACCCCAGAATCGCTCGGCCTTTTGTTTGAGAGTGCAGCTCTAGCCTTTACACAGCCAAGTGTGACCTACAAGGCAGTAGGAGTGGAGTAGGGAGTCCACTATCCATTGGCAGCCGGTGACCGGAGTCCGGTTCATACGCCTTTTTGAATGGGGCCAGACATCCAGGACATCCAACAAGCCCTTTGTCCATACGTCTGCCGGTGAGCTCCGGTGAGCTTCATACGCCAGTCGTTGAAGGTTTGGAATCAGGGTTTAGCCATCTCCCCTAGACTGTCATCCAATGGACAGTCAACCCGGTGGAGAGCGCCGGGCATCCGCTTTTGCCCTCTCTCTTTAGTGAGAAACACCTCCGCCACGTGAAGGCAGTGCGTAGGACTTCCTCAGGAGAGGCTGTGTAAGACGCACGGTCATATGGGAGCATTTCAAGAGGTGTGCGGAGGGGTGGCCAACCCGCAGCGCAAGACACCCACCCCCGACCATCCTGAGGCTTTGGAGACTAGGTCTAGCTACATTTCAGTGTTCCAAAAGTCTAATCGAATTGACCCCTATCTACTAGTTCGACTGACCTATGCAATTGAACTGACCTCAGAGTCAAGTCATTACATGAAATTTAGTAAATTATATTATTTTTCTTAGTTGGATCTATCAGGTGGGTTCGTAAGCCGAAAACGCTTATCTCTGAGAGAGGTGGTTGGTTGGTTAGCTTGAACGCCACCCTGACTCATTGCAGTCTCATTGAGAATCCTACATAAGGCCTCTGGCGTTTCTTCTTTCTACGGCATTACCACACAGGCTTTGAATTCTGTATTATTTTTGTCATTTTCATAACTAATCTTATTTGTCCTATGGTTCTCCATACATCTGTTTGATCATTATATTCATATTTTTGATTATAGCTTGATTCCACACTGTATTTTTGGTACAGGTATGGAATTTTCAGTATGTGATATATCGGTAGCCCAAATTTTGCAGGCCAACCATAGGTATCAGATGTGCGTCGGCAAGGGATCCAACCCCGGACCATGTGCATAGCGTACGAGAGTTCTAACCACTGTGCCACAGACGCACTAAATAAATTCTGGTGGGTAGTGTATGTTATTCATTAGTATTATTTTCTTTATTTGTTCGATTTTACTATTTGAATGTTCTGACTGACTAGTTGGGTTCCTGACCTGATTATATAGACCCTTAACTAAACCTACCTCTACCGACTCTGGATGGAATGAATTAAAGTCTAAGGATTTATCAGATTGCGTGTTCTGGCTTCCTATAAATGCTGGCGTGGTGAGAGCAGGCTGCTAGCCAATTGGTAGACATTAATTTACATCAATGTCTAGGTCACTAATACTGGCAGTGAGAAAATATGAACAAGGCTGATTCAACAACCAATCACAGCAGACTTAAGGTGGAAAAATAAAATTCGCAGATAGATGACTCAACTTTCCGAGAAACCAGAAGCAACCAATCAGAAGACTGTGTTTGTCTGCTTGAATAAGCTATAATAATGTACATGAAATATATGTATATATAAATACGAGCTGATTTCCGTAATAAAACGGTCTGTTGCCGGCCCTTGTCTTCTGTTGTTACACTGGTATCTAACCCATCCACCCTTTTATTTTAGTTTTATTCTACAGTCTAGCATCACCAACTCACCTTACTCGTTTTCTAACTCAAAAGTAAGTTGGATTCCATCTACTATTGAGTCAGTATCTGCAAAAGTCTAAGGGATACGTTCAGATTTCAACACAGTGATGGAGCGTTTTATCCCTTTATCTCCACCACATAAAAGAAAATATATCAAAAGGAAAGATGTGTGAATGGAATAAAATAAAATTGTGACTCACTTTCGCTAAAAGATGTACAAGTGGTAACATTAAATCAGCACGTAGAACTTGTACTCCATTTTCAGGTTTCGATAGAATCAAATTTCTTAGAATTAGAATTACATTCGCCACACTACTGTCATTCAATGAAGAAGCTGCAACAAAATTTGATAAAAATAGAATATTGATTATAAAAATATTAATACACACGTTTACACTAGCTAGCTAGGAGGATAGCATCACGTTTGCGTAAAAAATAGTCTTCAGAGTGATGATAGATCTAACGACTGGTGTTAAACGAAAGCAGGACACCCGAAAAAGCTGATTTAATTGAATGAATACTTGATCTATGGTATTTTTTATGACATTTGTTCATGTGACCTATTTTTACTCTATGCTGCTGCTTATAGAAATTTGATAGGCCGTTGAATAAAGGTAAGATCAGTTTAGGCTTTCTGAGGTCTCATTGGGTGGCTTTATTGCACCACCTCATTAATTGTATCGGGGATACGTGCTTTTCTGACGTAGATATTATGGATGGTGTTGTATTCTGCGACTGCGTCAAATTTGCTGCCCTTTTATCAGAAAATGTAGTTTGATATTGATATCTATGCAATCTAAAGCAGTAAGTTCGAAAGTCTAACGTATATTTTGGATTTTAATGAAATCATGCTAATATATTTGAGCCATTTATTGAAACTTGACAATAATCACAGGTGACACTTTAAAAAGACTCCAGCTTCACCTACTCAAATAGTACTAGACAACTATGTCCAATGGCTCCCTACTTAGGATCAGATGGCCGGTTAGAAAGAATCAGCAAAAAGAAACTCTCGCTACAAACGAACCAATAACCTACTGCTCAACAAATATCTAGGAGAAAATCGATATGTATCGGACATACATTAGAGAGACCGTCGAATGATGTCACGCACAATGCAGGCCATTGCTCGACTGAAATCCGAATAGGAATGATAATAAGCTTTATTCCAAAACAGTATTTGCGAATACAGAATGAAATTCTCAGCATTTTACTACAGTATTGCATCCAGTTATAGTACATTATCAATAAATAAAATTCTACATAGATTGTGGAAATCTCAGTTCATTATGACAACAACATATTGGCATGTCCGTAGCAAAGCCAAAATTGAACAGAGTGTTGGAAGGTGTTAGAAAAGTAGATGGTAGCATATTTACTGGTGTAAGCAGAAGAAAGAAACAAATCAGCACACAACAGAAAGAAATAGAGAGGGAGAGAAAAGGAAAAGAAAGAAAGAAAACGTTGTACCTATAAATGATATGAGGAGCTGGAAAGATGAGATCCAGTTGTTCAACTGACTATTTAATAAGTTAAAGATTTCACGCCTAATGCTTTCTTTATCGCACAGAACAAAAGCTATGCTGGGTATGGTTGAGTTTTTGTACTGACTAGTGCGAGCATATAGTTTTCTATATAGGCTTCTGGTCTGGTCTGGCCTGATGACATACAAGTGGATAGTTGTGAATGAAGAGGGTGGTGGTGTGAGTTAGATAGAATAGATTTTACCCGTTTTTCACATGAGTCCATGTGCCCGTCAACCAGAATATTAACAAGCTGGTTGGTTAAGTGTCACATTGCTTACCCTGCTAACAATCTTTAACATCCTGCATAATAAGGTATAGTCTTCTTTCAGTAGCCCAGGAAAAACTAAGGGGGAACAATAGAGAATAATAGGCATGATGCAAGAGTTAACGAATTGTAGGAGTAAGGGTTGGATTATTCCAAAATGTCTTAAATTCTTGATGTAGAAGGTAAGACGGAATATTTTCTTAGAAATCATGCAGATATGAGATGACCCGGAAAGATCAGCAGATAGAATGACGCTAAGATATTTAATTCCCCGCTTGGTTTCTATTTCAGTGCCATCTATGTTACACACCTCGTGAGTGCTAACCAGTTTGTTTAGGTCGGATTTATGCCTAAAGGAGAAATTGACTGTTTGGCATTTGGAGAGGGGGTTTAAAAAGTGAGACCGTTTTCCTTGGACCATTGGCTGATTTCTGATAAGAAGCCATTTAGTCTAGAGCATTCGCTTTGACATTTGACAGGCAAAGATACAGTCAGGTCGTCAGCATATTTGACAAAATTAATTGACAAGTGGGTTGTCAATGAGAGGTTGACATGGAGGAGATTGTGTGGGGGGGAGGAGATGAAAGACTATGGACAGTAGTGGAGCCACCTAGAGATGACTGCAGAAAATAGGACGAGGCGGAGACGTGTTGTTGGAGCACTATATTCCACTCGGAACTCAAGGGAACAATAATCGGAATCTACACGTAGAGGAAATTTTACTCTTAATGTTAGAGGAACCAAAAAGTGGCCTGTTTCTAATAGGGTCCCCTGAAATCTGTCACAAAACACCAAAATTCTTTAGTGTCATTCCTCAAGCTATTAATATTATTGCTCATTACGGTTCCCATGCTCTATGTTCCACTAGGAACCTAAGGGAACAGTAATTACCGTTCCCTTGGGTTACTATTGGAACATCGTAGGGTTTCAATAACAAGTCTCCAGTTTATGCTATTTTCTGCAGTCCTCTTTAGCCAGGCCCACGACACCCGACTTCTATAATCTTTCATCACCCTCTTACACAATCTCTTCTATGTCACTTCCGGAAGACCCACACGTCATTCACAATTCGGATTAAAGTCGAGTGATGGCCTGACGCGTGATGTAATTCGACGGTCTCCTCAGTGAAGTATTTCCAGTTCATCTCCATTTTAGTCTACACACTTAGTAGGCAATCGGTTCTTTTTTGGTTCGTTCTCAAAGTTTCTCTTCGCTATTGCTTTCTAGCTATCTGATCTTAAGTATGAATCAACGAAGGCAGGTGGTGATAGAAGTCCGAAGTGGCCTGTTGGAAATGCTTTCAATGATGCATCAAGTTCCCAACCCATATCCAAGAATTGACTCAGCATTAGTACTGAAAATATTAATTATGTTCTTAATGCTGACTGAGTCAGTGCAGGAGATTTCCAAACTGATTTCAGAGCGATGAAGGTGCATCTTACCTTTCCAATTCTGACTTTGACATCTTTATCCAAGCTGCTGCCTGTAGTTGGAACGATAGTACCTAAATCAGTGAGACAAATGACCTACTTTTTCGAGTGTGTTCCGTCTGTCTGTCTGTTTTCGACATAGAACTTTGCACAAATGTGCGGAAGTTCAAGTCGCCACACTCCGTGTAGCACGCGAAGCAAGAGAAGAAAGTACAAGAAAAGCATAATAGAAACAGTGAGCAGAGGTGTGAGACAAAGGAGTAATAAAGAAAAACAAAACAGTTTCTTTGGAGATCATAAGTCACAGGGAGTGGATGCATCTGCGCCACTGAGAACGATTTTGAGCTAGCCATGTCACCAATTGTTTCCAACCATAGATTTTCACCGTTCCGAAGGCCCCAGCCTGGAAGTCTACACCTTCCTACGTGGCTTAGACCAACTGTTGTGGATTTCATTGACTGGTGCCAAGTTTTTGTTTGACCGCCGCTAGCTTTTTTCCAGCCTGAGCCTATATCCGCTAACATAGCTCGTCGAGGGAGGCGATGACTAGGCATGCACACGTAATACATGTCCTAACCATCTCAGTCTTTGTAACTTCACGACTTCGTCGATTGATTTCCCCTGTTTACCTAGAACTCTACGCCTAACCTCCATGTTGTTCACCTTATTATGCCACTTTACATGGGAAATAGAGCGCAGGCACCTATGATCAAAGACAGCTAGTCTTTTCATGTCTTCCACTCTCAGTGGCCAGGTCTCACAACCGTCTATATTGACTTGTGTCAGTCTTTGTCAGTTTGTTATCTTTATCACCTCCGTCGTCCCTATGTCCACCTGAAGTCTTGCATTAAATACCATTCTCCTCTGCCAATTTTTTTTTAATTTTCGCCTGAAAGTCTTCGAGTTTGTGTGAAATTAGACACAAGCCATCCGGTAAATGCAGATCTTCTAGAGTCTTCGCGCTTCCCACTCACGGTCGTCCACATAACCCAGTCCATCACAATTAAGAATATTATCGGAGATAATAGGCAGGCAGCTTTATCCTGCTCCTGCATTCCCTTTAAAGGATTCACTGGGTTCTTTATTGTGTGAAGGTAAGTTTGGACTAATAAAACTAACGAATGTTTAGTACACTCCAGTTTCCATATTTTGACTAGGTAAATAGCAAAAACAATTTGATGGTTATAAAGTTACCAGTGGAATCCTGTTTGGAACTAGTCAACTAAATGTACTCGAACCTCCTAACGTCATTCGTTCCTTAAACCAAAGTGCTGTTCACTACGCCAGTGAAACCAAGACATCAACTACTTGCGCAGAGTATACCAGCTGCTGTTTTCTTCAGTTTGACAGAAACTTTGAATCTCCATTAGTATGTCAACTCCAATGAGGCGTTTTAATCATATCTGACTATGACTGGCAGTGGTATCCAGCTCAGATGGTGACATTCGAATCATGTGAAAAATGGGCAAAATCCATTCTATCTAACTCACAACACCACCCTCTTCATTCACAACTATCCACTTGTATCTCATCAGGCCAGACCAGACCAGAAGCCTATATAGAAAACTATATGCTCGCACTAGTCAGTACAAAAACTCAACCATACCCTACTTAGCTCGTGTTCTGTGCGATAAAGAAAGCAATAGGCGTGATACCTATAACTTATTAAATAGTCAGTAGAACAACTGGATCTCGTCTTTCCAACTCATATCATCATTTATAGGTACAACGTTTTCTTTCTTTCTTTTCCTTTTCTCTCCCTCTCTATTTCTTTCTGTTATGCGCTGCTTTGTTTCTTTCTTCCTTACAAACTCTACTTAAAACATTCTTCTTCGTTCTTTCACACTCTATTTATCTCGAACATTTTGTTACCAATTACGCCAGTAAATATGCTAGTATCTACTTTTCTAACACCTTCAAACACTCTGAACACGATATGTACCCATGTTTATATATGTGTGTATAGTGGTCTCTCTTTCTATTGCTCTCTTAGTCTGTGACCATTTCATTTTGATGAACCTGTCTCCTTTAACAATGTATATTCCCCTTATATTATATATAATATGTGTGTTTGTTTGACAGTCTGATATATTTTGCTATGTATATATGGATCGATATTCCATTATCATTAGCCAATCTTGTTAAGACTGTCCATTGATTTGTTCATTTTGAATATTCGCTCTCACACTTGTGTTTACACACTTGTTCGGACATTCATATATATTTTTGCTCTCACACTCTTGTGGGGTATATTGATTCTCCTGGTGTTTGGAAAATAGAAGTATCATCGCAAACCTAGTGGTCTTCTGATTTCCGTCTTTCTTGTGTAAGGACTATTAAATTCTCGACCAGTCCATAACAATAACTTAGCGACGAGTACATAACAATTTGGCGACGGGGAAAACTATGGATCCTTCTAAATTGGAATTACTACTTGTACGACAAATGAAATTAATGGAAATGTTCGTCATCCAACAGACCGGTACAACTTCACCTTCAAGCAATCTGAATCATACCATGCTACCATATGTCGACGGAATGGTGAATAGTATTTCACAGTTCAATTATAACCCAGATGAGAATGTCACTTTCGACACATGGTATCAACGATATGAGGATTTATTCACAGTTGATCTCGCCTCACAAGACGATGCTTGGAAAGTGCGAGTGTTATTACGTAAATTGGGTCCCGCAGAATATGAACGGTACTGCAACCTTATTTTACCCCAGAAACCACGTGACAAATGTTTCGATGATACAATAAAGCTGCTGCGTGAACATTTTGGAGACCACTCCTCATTATTCAGCATACGTTATCGTTGCCTCAAGTTGACAATGAATGAAAATGATGATTTTCTTACTCACGTTGGCACAGTCAACCGAGAATGTGAGAGATTTCTACTCAGGTCCTTAACAGATGATCAGTTCAAAGCCTTGATTCTCATATGCAGTCTCCAATCTCCTCGTTTTACAGATATCCGAACTCAACTGCTCAATCAGTTAGAACAAAATCCTAAGTTAACACTACATGACATAGCTGATGAATATCAACGGCTGATTAATTTGCAGAAAGACACACACCTGGTCGAATCAACACCTTCGAGAAACTCTGATATTCATGCATTACGAAAGAGCAAAAATCTCTCATCATCCAGTCCTGACCCACCTTCTTCTAATGTTCCGCGTAAATCTACACGTACTCGTCCAACTTCACAAAATACTGCAAAGAAGACCCCACCATCACCATGCTGGCATTGTGGCGCGTGGCACTTTGTGAAGTCTTGTCCGTACAAAAATCATCGTTGCAGTAAGTGCAAAATCATCGGTCATAAAAATGGATTTTGCCAGCCACGCAAACTCAGATATTAAAATACAGCGAAAGCTCGACAAACTGTTGGTCCTAAATCCCAAAAAAGTCAATGAGTCTAGTCGCAACCCATCAAGTCACAACACCAGGTATGCGGAAATATCTTGATCTTCAGATGAATGGTCATGATACACGTCTGCAGCTAGATACCGCCTCTGATATTACTGTTATATCAGAGAAACTTTGGAATGATATTGGCAGACCACCAATCGCAAATACTTCTTAGACTGCTGTCAGCGCCTGTGGTGGGCGGCTCAAACTAATTGGTGAACTCAATTGTTCTGTTTCATTCCGTAACATTAAATACACAGGAATTCGCTACATCACCAAGAGTGATTTAAATCTTTTGGGACTTGATTGGTTCGATCGTTTGCATCTGGCTGATGCCCCACTAAATTCTTTTAAAACTAAACTTTTTAAAATAGCCAAGAGAGCCGACATGTTAACACATACCGACAGTTTCGGTTTAATACAAACCAATCAGCTAGGAAACTCAAATTTAAGTAAACGGCAAAATGGGGGAAAATACTTTCAGCGAAGTAATTCACAAATCAAGACGACAATATTCTTTATAATTTAAACTTACTAGTAAACACAACACCAGAAGAATCCCGTCTATCATTCGTACCACCACAGCTGAGAGGTAGTAAAGAATTCAGTCGAGATCGAATACCAGGAGTTACTGGTGGTATTGGATCATTATACTGCATAACATTGTCAATTTTATTCCCAGTCGAAGGAGAAGAGTTGAGGACAGTAGAAGTCATAGTCGTATTACTCATAGTTGTTGCCGGGATTTGTGTCGCTGTTGTCGTCGTTGTCTCATTACATATCAGATCTAAATCGTTGATATATCGATGATGTGCAGAAATGAGAAGATCAGTTATACTGAAATCATCTGATAACAAACTCATTTCAATAGAGCTTAATTTGTCTGCGCTTACATAACTATTGGTTGGAAAATATCGAAGTAATTTAAGTATTGGCAATAGTACACCCATACCACCGATACGATTGATTGAATCCTGTGAAATTTGTAAAGAAAGAGGCAAACATCTTTGTGAATTAGGCAAATCAAAAACTACTTGGAGTAAAGAGAAATTAGGGATTCTACGTTTAAATAATAAAACACAGTCTTCCTCTATACACTTCTTTTTTGAATGATGTCCATCTCAAACCAGTTATTCACAGCGTAATAACTGGACGAACTTCAGTCTACAAGCTGATCAATAAATCACGTTTAAATCAGATAAGAATAGTTAAGAACATATGAGCATTTATCACACAGTGATACAAAGATAAAGTCTCATTAAACAATGAAGTAATTCCTGGTATTCAGAGCTAAGCCACTGAATTTATGGGGTTCAGTGATTAAACATTTATCTTTCAGTCAGTATACATGGTCAACTAAAACTGCCTCTAAAGTTAATCGTGATAAAGTGGTTGTCAATGTTGATGAACATTGAATAATTTGTTTTTTCGAACTGGTCTCCATTTGGCGGGAGAAATGAAAGCTGCCATCGCTTAATTATTTACTGGTTGGCAATAGACTGGAGAAATACAATCAGAAGTATTGTTAAATATAATATTAACATTTATTTACAGACCTTAGTATTGATTATCCATTGAAAAAACCCGTTTCGTTATCGCTTGAAAAATAAATAATCATGTTGCCCAACTGTTTTCTGTTCTGTGTCGTTTAAAGCACATAGTGTTTTATGTATTAAGCTTGGTTTTCTGAAACCAGTAATGGGTCCAGGATCTCTACGATCTGGATATTTTACAGTGGTTGACTTTCCTGAATTGTGTGATTTAATTGTGAAAATTTCATCGCTCTTCTTGGTGATGTCATCAGGACTTACATAAGTACGTACTGAGTAATTCACCATTTATCTCGAGTGACGTAACCGTCAACACCTACCTTTGCTCCATGCTGAAGATAAGATGACCGGCTGGCCAGAAAGAATTAGCAGCAGGAAATTCTAGCAACAAACCAACCAAGAGTCGAATGCTCAACAAATATATAGCTTGCTTTGTAACTGGAAGGTCCAGGGTGGGTGGTGGGTGCGTACTGCCGATGACTCACTAACTGGGATGAAACAGCTGGCTGTCCAGTACTCCAGTGCTGGTTTCCAGTGGCTCTCTAATTGATATCAATCCGAGGTCGAACTCGAGAAGAAAAAAATATATATAGGAGAAAATAGAGATGGATCGGTCATATGTTGAGACCATCGAATGAAATCACACTCAAGGCAAGCGATAGCTCCAGTAGAAACCCAATAGGAAGCGACAAGTGGGGCGTCAGTGTGCAAGGGTGAAATAGAGAAGGTCGTTTAGGGAAGAGGAAATGAGAGATTACTGTCAATAACGGAGCCAGTTGAATTGAACCGCAGAAAATAGTGACGATGTATTATTGAAGCCCTATGTTCCACTCAGAACCCAAGGTAACAATAATAAATTATAACATGACGTAACCTTCTCTCCTAATGGTCTTGATGGTAACTACTCGTCTTTCGAAGTTTTCTTATTCTCGTGTTGGTTTGCACTGACAAATAATCGTTTCATTCCCCTGAAATTTGACTTTTTTACAATCTAACTTGCCTTTTATTGCTTCGTGAATTTGAACAGTGTCAATAGATCTGTTGTGTAAAGAATGATCCGATTACCAGGCCTTTAAGAATTCCTTTGAGTTTTCAGTATCTCCACTGATTAGAATTTCCATATATTCCTCACTCATTTAGTTTCCATGATTGTCTACTTGTACTGATGTGAAAAATGAAAAAAGAATCACCAACAGGGAATTATGGGAACAAACAAAGCAAGAACCAATCGCCCAACAAATATGCAGGAGAAAGTGGAGATGGATCGGACACTCGCTGAGGAGACCGGTTCGTGACATCGCACGCCAAGCCCTCGAGTGGAACCCGAAAGGGAAGCGGCGTGTGGGACGTCCAAGGGTGACATGGAGGAGATCGTGTGAAGAGGAGTTGAAAGAATATGGATTAACATGGATGGATGCAGGTGAAAAGTACAGCAGAAGGAAGACAGAAGTGGCAAGTGGAGACGTGTAGTTGAAGCCCTATGTTCCACTAGGAACCCAAGGGAGCAATAATAATAAATAATAATAATTGATGTGAAAGAATACACGTAATATCTATTGCGATTAGTTTCAGTAATGTTATCATTATCACAGAAATGTTCGTTCATTGGTAGACTAATCTTTCCCCACGAACGTGGCCCTAGGTTAAATCCCCAGCCGATGCACTCCTAAACCTCATTTAGCCGGCTAAAAGCCCTATCTTACAAATTTAAATTTCGAAGCTAAAACTTGGAAGCCTGTACTGAAAGAAGACGAAAGATCTGTTAGAGGAGTTGTTACATTGAATTTAGATTTTCCCATCGATTGAATGGACTTAATTGCTTCATCTTGGGTTGACATGTTGGCTCCTTGTGCAGACGAATTGTAAATTTTATGTGGTCATGAAGTCAATTGGTGGATAGTGACTAGCAGTGGAATCCGAAATGTGAATTTCTTCCAATTTGGGACTCATCAACTGCATGCATCTACATTCCCCAGTGAGTAATGGTGTTCCCACCAAGGCTCAACAGTCAGGAAAATCTGAACTAAATTAAATAAGTGATAAGACTTTTTGCACAGGAGGTGGCTTTCGTGACCCAAGTGGTCTAGTGAGTAATGTATTGGCGTTTAAAACTATGAGTGGTGTGTTCCAACCACAGTGGGGACATCATCACTCACTGGGAAATGCAGGTACTTCCAGCGAAAAGTTCCAAATAGGATGAAATTCGCATCCTAGATTACACTGCTAGTCATCAAACAACAAATGTCATGGTAACGGAATGTTCATTTGCAATGTGGTATCTCTGTACAACAAAATTATGTACACCTTTTTCCTTCACATCACCATTTGCACAAATCTTCCATGTCGTGCTATTTCTCGACTTCATAGTGTGTTTCTTTGTTTGTTCCTTTTATGTCCCTCGTATATTTCCACAACGCTGAATCATTTACTTTCTCTGACATCAAATCTATCTCCCTGCTATCTGATGTTTTTATGCTGATGAATATCTCTTCATAAAGATACTACTGACAAATCTCATCAGTAGCACACGTCACAGCCCTATTGAAATAAAACTAATATATGTGGCAATCGAGAATTTCTTGTGACTTCCGAGAATTGACCGAGTTATCCTTCGACAGAGCAATGCATTGATAAGTTCAGATAAGAATAGTCGTTTTTCAAGGTAAACATCAAAATCCAACGAGTTATAATTCTTAATAATCATCCACTAATAATGTAGTACAACCTCTATCTCACGTCATCGATAAGCGAACGTCTTTACAACTAACCTTATGGAGATTATTATTAGTTACAGTTTCACTAAAAGGATTCAGTGAAACGTGCCTGAAAGCTGCTCTCTACTGGTCAGGGGAATGTTGATGAATGGTCTCGTCTTCTGGGTAGGTTTTGCTTTCAAATATTACGACAGAATTTGAGTACTATAGCAGTCCACTGATCATTAGTGAGTGACTAACTACAGAAGAGTGCTGCCTGATTTTCTAGTGAGAGGTTTTGATTGGTTGACGTCCAAAACTGCATACTCATCAGTGTCATCGATTCACGACAGTGTCATATATCGTGTGAATTGGCAGAAGTTAAAATTTGACGCCTCTAGCTCAATTAATGTTGCTTAGATAAATGAAGAGAGTGACATCTTTCAAATTTATTCCGGTGATAGTCTTTATTGGCAGTTGTTGTTGTTGTTGTTCTTGGTTGGTTATATGGTTGGTGTGTATCTTCATCACCTCCGTCTTCTATATGTTCGCTTGAAGTCCTGTCTGTGCTTCCTACCTCTTCTGACAAATTGCTGACTTTCGCCTGTAAGTCTTCCATACAGGAGTAAGACAAGGCTGGCTGGCTGGCTGGCTGGCTGGCTGGCGGCCTATTATCACCGATGATATTCTTAATTATGCTGGACTGACTGGATTATGCGTCAGACTGTTGAGAGCGAGGAGTCAGGAATACCCTGGATGACTGGTAAGAAGACTTGCAAGCTAAAACCAACAAACTGGTTGAAGAGGCTGGCACCGAAATCAGGACTGCAGGTGAACATATAGTGCGCAGGTACCTAGCTGTCTTTGATCATACGTGCCTGCTCTCTATTTCCCGTGTAAAGTGGCATAATAAGGTGAGCAACATTGAAGTTAGGCGTAGAGTTCTAGACAAACAGGGGAAATCAATCGACGAAGTCGTGAAGTTACAAAGACTGAGATGGTTAGGACATGTATTACGTGTGCATGCCTAGTCATCGCCTCCCTCAACAAGCAATGTTAGCGGATATAGGCTCAGGCTGGAAAAAAGCTAGCGGCGGTCAAACAAAAACTTGGCACCAGTCAATGAAATTCACAACAGTTAGTCTAAGCCACGTAGGAAGGTGTAGACTTCCAGGCTGGGGTCCTCGGAACGGTGAAAATCTATGGTTGGAAACAATTGGTGACATGGCTAGCTCAAAATCGTTCTCCGTGGCGCAGATGCATCCACTCCTTGTGACTTATGATCTCCAAAGAAACTGTTTTGTTTTTCTTTATTACTCCTTTGTCTCACACCTCTGCCCACTGTTTCTATTATGGTTTTCTTGTACTTTGTTCTCTTGCTTCGCGTGCTACACGGAGTGTGGCGACTTGAACTTCCGCACATTTGTGCAAAGTTCTATGTCGAAAACAGATAGATATAGATAGATAGAACATATAGTAGACGGAGATGATGAAAATAACCAATCAACAACAACAACAACCAGCGCGAATCACCAGCAACGAGAGAGATTTAACAGAGGTTGCCTCCTTCACTTACCTGGGAAGCATCGTCTCAACTGCAGGGGGAACAGACGAAGATGTCAAAGTCAATTAGAATCAGAAAGGTGAGGCACGCACGTCTTTATCAACCTAAACCCAGTTCAGAAATCTTCTTCTCTGCTCTCAGCCTAAGGAGCAAGATTCGCATATATTCAACACAAATGTGATGTTGGTCATTACTTCTTTACGACTCAGAAACTTGGATTGTCACGAAAAGGATTTCTAACAAGTTACAGACCTTTATCAACACATGCCACCTTAGATTGTTCCATAGTGAAGATTAAACGGTCAGAAAGAATAATCGACAAGAAAATATGGGAAAAAACCAACAGGCAAGAGCCGATCGCTCCTCAAATAAGTAGGAGAAAATGGAAATGGATTGGGCATACATTGAGTAGGCCACCGAATGACATGGCACGCCAGGCCATCGCTCGAGTTAGATATGACAGAGAAGATTTGTAGCTCAGGTGGATGATTTTGATGTGGTTTTGTTCTCTGAGCTGGATGGTTAGTTTGCGAAGCTTTCATCACCTTACTGGGTGACATCTTCAGCGCATACTTCAATTTGAAGTGAGCTTTTAGATTTCTCCACGAGTTTATTAATCATCTCTCCTGGTGACCTTGGACGTGATTGGTTGTTTATGTGTTTTCACACCTTCTAGGTTACTTGTATTGGAACCGGTTGTTTCTTTGACTTGAACTTTGACCCTTTGTGTGTGAAGTTTCTTTCTTATTGGTTGATAAATTTTGTCTATCTCGATGTGTCTATTGATTGATGATTCACTGGAATGCCAAGCTTCTAAAAATTCTCTAGCATTCTTGTTATTTCCTTTGTCTAATATTTGAACGTTGTCCCAGTCGAATTGATGTCCGTAGTTGTCTGTGTGTAGTGAAATGAGGGAGTGGATATCATGTCTTTTGACGGCTAGCTTATGTTCGTGGATACGAAGACGAAGGGGACGTCCACTTTGGCCGATGTAGTGTTTTTCGCAGTTGTTACAGTTTATTTTGTAGATGATGTTGGTTTTGTCTTCTTTCGCTGTTGAGTCTTTTGGTTGACATAGAATTGAGTGCAGCGACTTTGTTGGTTTGTGTACGACGTCAATTCCTAAAGGTTTGAAGAGTCTTGTAGTGATTTCTGAGATATCTTTTATATATGGTAAGGCAATTTTCTTTGTGCTTTCCTTGGTGGCTTTTGCTTTGGTAGGTTGGCTTGGGGGTATATGTCTCTTGATGAAATTCCGTGGATATCCATTCTTTTGGAAGACGTCCATGAGATACTTTTCTTCAATTTTTCTTAAGGTGGGAGTGCTGCAGTGAGTCCTTGCTCTCTTGAATAGTGTTTGTATGCAATTCCTTTTGTGTGTTATTGGGTTGTTGCTGTTGTAATTCAGTATTTGGTCTGTGTGAGTTGATTTCCTATAAACTTGAGTTTCTAATTCTCCTGTAGTTGTTCGCCTGACTAAGACGTCCAAAAATGGTATTTTGTTCTCGGATTCCTCTTCTCTTGTGAATTTGATGTCGTTGAAGACGTTGTTTATTAAGTTGTGAGTTTTGTCTAATTCGTTTCTTTTGATTATTACAAATGTGTCGTCGACGTAGCGTATCCAAATCTTGGGTTTGATCTTTGGTAGAATTATATTTTCGAGTCTTTGCATCACTGCTTCTGCAATCAAACCTGATATTGGCGATCCCATGGGTGTTCCTTTGACTTGTTCATATATTTGGCCGTTGAATTGGAAGTATGTTGTTAGGCATAGATTTATGCATTCCATCCAGCTTGTGTGTTGCATTTTTGATTGTTGTGGCAGTTGTTCGTCGTTGCTAAGTAATTGCTCCATGGTTTCTTTTGCTAGTTTTTGTCCGATAGAGGTATATAATGCTGTCACGTCGAAGGATACCATTATTTCTTGTTCATCTATTTGGATGTCTCTGATTTTCTCTAGGAATTGGATAGCAGAGTTGATGGAGTGATCGCAAGATTCCGTTAGGTGTTTTAGTTTTCTGTATAATTCTTTGGATAAATTATATGTTGGAGTTCCTGGGAGTGATACAATTGGTCGTAATGGGATATTTGCCTTGTGTATTTTGGGTCTGCCGTAGAATCGCTCGAGTGGAATCCAAATGGAAAGCGACGAGTGAGTCATCTGTGCTAGGACAACATGGAATAGACTGAGTGGGGAGGGGGAGATGAGCAGTTATGGGCAATCGTAGACGCAGTTAGACAGGACATCAGCAAAACAGAACAAAGTGGAGATGTGTTGTTGAAGCCCTATGATGTTCCACTCGAAACGCAAGGGAAAAAAATAATAATAATGTAAGTTAGAGGGATATATGATCAGAAGAAGTGATTGAAAATGAATTAACTAGGCATTGTATATGATACTTTGATCGAAAATGGCTATCCCGACAAATTTATCAAGAAACACAACACGAAGAAAGTGGAAAAGGACTACTCACTATCTGTAGACAAAAAGCCACTTTATATACGACTACAATTCAAGGGCGATATACCAAGTGAGATAATTACGAGGAAACTATGAAAATCAGTTCAAAGAAGTTTTAATGCTGGCGAACTACACGTCTTATTCTCTACACAACCGATAGTGCTACCTCGACTGAAAGATGAAGTATCTAGACTAACCACTTCAAATTGTATCTACCAATTCAACTGCGCTTGTGGTGGAGCAAGTTATATTGGCCGTTGCACTAGGAACTTGATTTTTCGTGCTCTCTCTCGAGAACATCTCCCACTATGGCTAAGTAAAAGTGTAGTGGAAACCATTAAAAGTTTGATATTGGACCATCTGGTACAAACTGGCCACAAAGCTAGCCAGCGCTGAAGAATCCTTCTCTATCATCATCTACCAGGTGCCTAATAAAGTGACAAAATCATCACTGAAGCACCACATGGTTCAAACAGCGGAGGCTATTGCAATTCTTCTCGAATAACCAGTGCTTTGTGTTCAACAGAAGCAAGTCCACCCCCTTATGCTGCCCTGGCCGGCCTTCAATAGAGACTATAAATTCATGATTTCATAATTTTTCTGACATTCAGCTTATTTTATGTTGATGCTATTAAACTGTAATCTATCAATATTTTTCTTCGATGTTATTTAAACAACATTATTGTTGTTCATAACACTAATTCATTCATTCATTCATTCACTATAATGTATATATAACCGTAGAGCCTGATAATGAAGCTATCGAAAAGTGTACTCTTTGTTCAATATCTATTCTTTTGAAAAATTTTAATGAGCTTTGTTAATCGATTAATAATGTAAGTATTCAAGTTTATATGACCCTAAGCATAAATCTTCGGTAAAACCCATATCTTCTAGAATCTCCCTCTCAGTCCAACGTATTGCCGTCTTCTCACTCCCCACAGTTTGATGCATAATCCAGTGAACCACAGTTAAGAATATTATCAGTGACCGTAGCAGGCACTGTCATATAGCCTGCTGTTGAATACGTCTGATAAAGATTTGGAGCACTCCACTCCGTCTTCAACACTGTTGAACGTTTTTTCGAAGTTATAGAAAAAAAAACACAATAACAATAACAGTATACAACTAACTAACTAACTAACTAACCAACCAACCAACCAATTAACTCACATTTATCAAAACTGATTCCAGTCGTTCAGGACCTAATAATGTAGCAGGTAGACCGCCAAAATTTGTATATTTATGCTGAATATGCTGCAACCAGACATAATCTTCATATAAAGCTTCATCAATAAGCATAGAATTGTTAATATCTCTATTAAATAACTTTTCATTACATTCAAAAGATGTTGGTAAGCCTAAATTTTCACTTGCCAACTCTGGACATATTGAATGTGAATAATTAACCGACTTAGCATGATAATAAAATGCTATTTTAGTTGAATTAAAAGCACTGGAATTCAATGAATTCTCATCATATGGATTGATTGAAGCATAACTACCAGTCAGATTTGGTGTACTTGAACCTGTTGTGCCCAGGTTATAACCTTCATTGTCCAACAGATAGGTAAGATTACAAGGTCCTGAATAGACAGGAGAGAAGAAGAGAGTTATGAACATGATGGATTATAATTTAAGAATTCACTTACTTAACAGGACTATAATTTTACATATCTCAAAAGTGACATAAAGCCGTCAGTGGTTCAATGGATGGGTACTCACCAACCACTCGGCGAATGGTTCAGGATTCCATCCTCGGTCGATGCACTTCTAAACCTCGCTTAGCTTGTGATAAGTCTGGTAAAGAGGGGATGCTAGAATTGAGGCTAGTAACTGTACCTGGTTGAAAAAAATAACACCGCTGTCGCTAAGACTTCAAATTTCAAGCCTAAAGCTTTATGTTCCACTTGGACCGCAAAAGACTAGAATAAACAATAATAAGTAGATGATATTAGCCATGAAACAATGATAATAATAATAGCTTTCCATCATGAGCTGACATCAGTTAGAGAACCACTGGAAAACCTGCAGGGTGTACTGGACAGGTGTTTCGTCGCAGTTTAGGACTCCTTATCGGTACACATTCACGGCCAGGGTTCGAACCCAGGACCTTCTGGCTACAAGGCGGGCTCGTAGACCATTATGCCATCACCGAAGACATTGACTTGCGTTCGCGCTATGTCGTGAATCTGCAGAAGTTAGAATTCTTGGGTTGACCACTGAATCAGGTCCCAGTGGCTTAATGGCCTACGACCTTGCCTTCTAGCCAGAATGTCCTGGGTTCAAACCCGATGAATGTGTACTCATAAAGAGTCCCATACTAAGACAAAATAGCTTTCCGGTAAAATGCCAAGTTTTCCAATGCCGGCTAAACAAATGCCAGCTCATGATGAAATCCTGCAACCAATCATTCAAATCCCTACAAACCAATACTTGAATATTAGCTTTATTCTGAACTATGTTTATATGATGCACAGAATTTTTAACGGAGTTTATTGTATTCTATTTTCTCTTCGTCCACAATTCATTTAAAGTAGATCTTGTAACACAGTTCCTTCTATCTGACCTGAAGTGAAAACCAATCCACTAAGATGATATCTCTTCGTTGTCTCCTTCGAGAAATACACACGACATGTTGTTAGATGCTAATTAAAACAAGTTCAGGAGTAGATTTTGTGAATCAAGGACACCATTCAGGAATGGTGATCTCATGTATTAGGGTAAGATGCCATCGAGCGTGATGCTCGATGCTCTCATATTTAGTAGAAACCTGCGAATCAGCACGTTATAAACTTTTTAAATAGCCGCCAAAATAAACAATACTGTATTAGAGGTCATGCTTTACTAGATTTAAACAAATTAAATAAGAAAAATTATATGCAGTATATTAACGGGAGTTTTTGGTAGCTCAGTTTTTAGGCGAGCCGCCTACTTCTGTGCAGTAATCATTCATTCATGGTACATTTTGAGTCTTCTAGTCTTTATGAATGCTGCACTCAAATTGAATACCAACTCTTCGAAATTTTTCCGAAGATTTAATGTTTCACAAGGTGTGTTGACTGCTGACTGAGATAGTAAATCTCTCATGTCAACTGTCTGTCTTATCTTTGTGTTTTGGCGTGCCACTTGTTTTGTTTTGTCTGACGTTTTTATTTGCGATTAGAGTAGATTTCGTTAACGCGTTAGGGTGCTTATAGCATATAATCTATTACGTTACATTAAGCGTTGTAGGTGGTTCAAGGTATGTGTTTTTATTCAGAACGATAGACTGTATTTGGGAGAAAGCATCCAGTGAAAAATGATTCATCTAAGACATTCATGGAATTTAATTTAATTTGAGATTTTCCCGACGATTGATAGGACCGAAGTACTTGGTCTCAAGTTAACATGTCGGCTTCTTGTGCAGATGCTTCGACGATGTCAGGGCATTTAATCAGAATTTAATTTGTGGATGGTGACTAGCAGTGGAATCCAGGATGCGCATTTCGTTCTATTTGGGACTCGTCATCTGGATGTACCTGCATTTCTCAGTGAGTGATGTTCCCACCGAGGCTCGAACCCAGCGGCCATAATTTCAAACGCCAAGACGTTATCCACTAGACTACTTGGGCCACGAGAGCCACTGCTCCTTGTGCAACAGGTCAGATTAATTTAATTTAATTTTAGATTTCTCACCGATTGATTGGACCGAACTGGTCGGTCTCAGGTTGACACGTCGGCTTCTCGTGCAGATGCTTCCACGGTGTCTGGGCTAACGAGTCGCAAATAGGACGAAATGCGCATCCTGAATTCCACTGCTAATCATCATCCATAAGTTACATTCATGGGGTGTTTCCATTGGTTTCACATTATCTACCTTCTGTGACAAACGTCTACTAATATAAGCGTAGAATTTGAACACTATGCTAGAATCCAAATTCATTACATTCAATGATACGTATTATATTCTAGTGAGCACAGTTTGTTGCTAATAATCATGCGGGTGCGCTCACATAACATATATGGAATCTATAGTGTCATAACAGAAAGACGTGACATCTGAAACTCAATGTTAGATTCTTAATAAAACAGATATTATGGTATCATTCAGACCTATAAGGTAACTTAGAAACGGACTCTGTGGACTAAGGGCTGGGTTTCAACGTATAACTCTGTACAGAAGTGCGACAGTTCGAACTGCCACGCTCCCTACTTGTAGCACACAAAGCAAGAGGAGAAAGTAAAGATATATCCAGAGGATAGAGAGATATTAAGCAGAAGTGTGAAGAACAGAAAAAAGAATAGTAATATGGAAGAACAGTGGGGCTTTATTGGATGTGACAAGTCAAAAAGAATGAATACATCTTTCCTAGTCACCGGCAACAATTTTCAGCCATATCACCAATTGTTTTTAGCCGCTGGTTCTTACCATCCCGGGGTCCCCGACCAGACAGCAGTCTACACCTCCCTACTTGGCCGGTTGGCTTAAATGAACTGTTATGAAGTTCATTGACTGACGCCATGTTTTGGTTTGACCATCACTAGCTCTTTTCCAACCTAACCGTATGTCAGCTAACGTTACACATCGAGGAAGGCGATGGCTAGGCATGCATAATATATGTCCTAACCATCTTAATTTATGTAACTTCACAATTTTGTCAATTGATTTCCCCTCTAACCTGCACTCGATGCCTAAGCTCAATATTAATCACTCTGTTGTACCGTCTGACACAGGAGTCAAGTCAGCTAGTCAGGATTTTTATGTCTTCTACTTTCAGTGGTCATGTCTCACTGTCATAAAGGATGACAGAGCAATATACTGAGCAGTATACACGTGATTTGATAGATAGGCAGTTGGATATCACGTCTACACCAGAGATGCAGTAAGTTGGCAATTGTCGTACTGAGATTTTGTCAGCGATCAACCCTCAGGGGTTAATGCAAATTCTTAAGTAAGTAGAGTGGTTAACACACATTTGGCAGGAGCGAATTTTATGGCAAACATCCGCCGACTGCCGCTCAAAGTGCTCAGAATACTCTGCACTTTGTTAGCGTCTTCACCTAGAAGGACTATACCGTTCGCATATTCTAAGACAACGACAAGATAATTTATTCAACAAATTACCTTCTAATGACTATGAAGTCAACGACATCGGCTATTCTAGTATGATCGGCACCATTTAGGCTGTCGGAATATAAAGATTTAACCAAGTGAAGAATTACTGACCCCATAAAGAAGAATAGTTGAGAGAAAAACTTATCATTGACAATACATGCACTAACACACAATCGCAAAATGTAGTGTGGGACAGAGCTATATTTCCAAGAAGTAATATAGACAGATGAAGGGAGAGATTGGTTGCTGAATCTTTGGTCATCGTTTCTACATCTGATGCATTACTGCTAGTAAAATATAAAGTCACTGGGACCTGATCCTATGGTCCATGAATCCCAACTTCAGGCGATATCTCCGGCGAGGTTATTGGTTGAACCATGTCGTGAATTGGTGAAAAGTTAGAATTCATGGGGTGGCCAATGGATCGGGTCTCATTGGCTTAATGCCCCGCGAGCTCACTGGCCTTGTAACCACAATGTCCTGGTTTCGAACTGCCGGGAAGGGTCCGTACCGATGAAGAGTCACAAACCATGATGAAACGGTTCTTCAGTACTCCCAGATTTTCCACTGGTTCCCTAACCGATGATAGCTCATGATGAAATCCTCCAACCAATTAAACAAACAAGATTTCTCTCTAAATTACAATCATAACTTAAAAATGAAAATGAATCATTCATCAAAAAATAAATAAGCTAAAATAAAAAAAACAAACAAAATTACCAAGCGATGTAACCATTTGCCAAGTAGTATCTGATAAAGCTTCATTAAACATTGCACAAGAAATAATCCTCCCTTGAAATGAATTCATTATCCCCCATAAGATACGTTCACTGCCTAAATCCACTTTACGTGGAGTACCGATTTCAACTTTCTCTGAGAAAAGGACACTTAATCCAGACGAAGCAGAAGAAAAAGAAGAAGAGGGAGTAAATTTTCTCGATAGAGTTGATGTTGTCGCTGATACGGAGACAGCTTCTCTAGACGCATAATTAGATTTACCGACACTTTTCAAATTGGATATTACTGATTTACGACGACCAGCTTTTGAGGCTAGATCAAATAATAACTTCGAGTAGACAACTTGATCGATCCAATTTGGACAACCACCGATGTGTAGGATAGAGATATTCTACATATATTTCAAAAAACAAAAATGAAAATAAGAAAAAGAAGTTATCGTAATATTAGGAAAACTGAAGTCCTCAATATCCGCTTCCTGCTTACCTACACTTGTCAGTAAGGTAGGGGAACTAGTGTTCTCTCGACAATATAAACCTCCACTGTAGGTTTGACTAGAACCGTTTTTACCATAGAAGACGAGAGACCTAGTAAAGGCATGTTTATTTGCAATGTGGTATCTCTGTGCAGCAAAATTATGTTCACTCTATATCTTCATGTCGCCATTTCCACAGATCTTCCGTGCTGGGCTATTTGTCGCCTTCATATTGTGTGTGTTTTTTTGTGTGTTCCTTTCACGTTTCCCATGTTTCTCAACAACGCTCAATCATTTGCTTTCTTTGACATTTAAACTATATATGTTTCCATGCCAACGAACGTCTCTTTATATATTACTAATAAATGTCGTCAGTAGGACACGCCACACTGTTATTTCCTCCATTCGATTGCATGAAGGATTTCATCATAAGCTGACATTAGCTAGAGAACCGCTGGAAAACCTGCGAGTACTGGACAACTCTTTTGTCCTAGTTTAGGACTCTTCAGTAGTACGCACCCACCGGGATTCGAACCCAGGACCTCCTGGTTAAAAGGTAAGCTCGTAGACCGTTCAGCCACTGGGAACCGATCCAATGGTCCTTGAATTGTAATTTTCCCAACCGAAAGCTGCCACCTTGACGTGGTGGTCGGGCTTGAACACCGCAATAACCTAATCAAGCTATACTGGCTGAGACTTATGTCTCTTGAGGTTCTACCATGCCAGGCAGGTTGTTTGGATAGCGGTTAAACAAAAAGCAGCTACCTCATCCAATACCATGATTCAAACAAATTCACAAAATATCATTCCGGATCGGCCGTGGCCCGGATTAACAACGACCGCGCTTCGTGCTGCCGTTTCACAGGGCAGGAGTGATAATTATGCTACTGAGACACACCAAACAATAAAGAACAAACAAAAACAGGCCGCGTGTGACCGGCCTCAAGCAGTTGTCCCTTGGGCTCTGCGGTCACGCAATCAACTTCCACGGTGTGGGCAGCCGGGAAGTAACAAACGCCCTCACAATCCGAAATGCACACAAAACCTCTCTAATCCTCACTTATCTTTGTCTTCATCTTCATCTCTATTACCTTGCCTTCCTCCCACTGATGCAACTCCTCGACTTGATGGCTCCTCACTCCCTCTTCACTCTGTGTCCACTAAAAACGACGGACTCCCGGGTTGGGGCCCTCGGGACTCTAGGAATCAATGGCTGGAGACAATAGGTGACATGGCTCAAAATCGTTGTCAATGGCCAGCGCAGATGTATTCAGTCTCTGTAATCTTTCACATTCCTTTCTACCATTACCCATTCTGTTTCACTCTTATACTTGTCAAACTCTATTGATTCTCTTCACTCATCTTCTTGTCTACCTTTGTGTGCTATTTGGAACGTGGCAACTCGAACTGGTGAACTTCGATGCCAAGTTCTATGTTGAATCCAGACAGACAGACAGAATTGTAACTTCTGCCGATTCAGCGTAGATGTTAACATCTTTATTAATTCTATCGGTTATATAACCATCTAACCTGCTTTTCACTTTTTAAAATTCTGATTTGCTGGGATTTGCGCGATCTTTTTGATTCAGAATAGATCACTAACCGACAATGGAAACCAGCGAGTACAGAACAGTAATTTCCTCCTACTTTGGACCTCTTCACCTTCATGCACTCATAATTCAACTGGGCTTAAAGACAGTGTGCTTACTTAGTAATTCTTAGGTCCTGGTTTTGGTTCCTGGTGAGATCAAGAGATCATGAGAAAAAGTACTGAAAAGTTCCAGTATTTTCTAGGTGATGTCAGTTCGTGATGGACTCTAACTTTTCTCATCTTTCTAACCTTGAGAAATTCATCAGCCAATCACAGCAGACTTAGCGTGTGCAAATACGATTCGCAGATATATGGCTTAACTTTCTAAGATACGGTTACAAGCAGTACAGAATAACCTTCAGTAAGAAAACAACCAATCAGAAAACGTTGCCTCTCCGCTGACAGTAATGTACATAAAAATCTATAAACATCTGTTGATTTGCTCAATAAACGATATGTTGCCTGCCCCTTGTCTTCTGTCGTTGCACAGGTACATTCAGTTGACAGCTCTCCAATAGAACTAAGGCAGGTCATTGATACCAATACTAGCCAAAAGTAATTATATAACATTACCTTCACATCAAAGTGCCATAGAAGCATCCATACTGCAGGCCAGCAAGTCAAAAGTGACTGAGATTTTTGGGAAATTAACAACATTCAAGAGTTATTTTATAAGGATTCTATTTGTTTCTACGAGTTGGTCGCGGACTGATATCAGTTGGAGAACCATTGAAAATCAGTACTGGAGTACTGGAAAGCTGTTTCGTCCAAGTTTGATACTCTACCTCAGTACGTACTCAGACAGGTTTGAGGCCAGAACCTTCCAGTTACAATGAAAGCTCGAAGACCATTCAGCCACTAGAACCCTATTCAATGGCCAGTCCGTGAATTCTAACTTCTACCAGTTCATGACTTTAGCGTGACTGGCACCGCCCAAAGGTCACAGGAGGTAAGTATTTGTCGTCACTTCCAACTGATGTCTTGTTTGCAACCAACCACTATCATCCCTCTGTGCAATTAAACTCTGAAAAGGAATTTGAACTAAGCATTCCCTTTCTTGATGTGTGCCTCAGTAGACACACTGACGGATTTCTTAAAAGACCTTCCCATATGGAATGGAAAACTAACTGATTTTTATAGCTGGCTGTCTATCTCCAGGACAAGAAACTTAATTCACCCACTCTGCCTTAAGATAAGAAACATTCAAAGTTCTGACTACACTGACTCAGAATTCGCCTTCCTAAAAACCACACTCACAGAAAACGTTTATCCGTACCTAATTATTGACAAAAACACGAAAGATAAGCAATCCAAACCTGTTACCGACTCAGTTTCAAAGAAAACTGTGTTCATGAATTTGGAATTCAAAGGTGGTAGGGCTTCATATTATTCTGGAAAATAGTCATTTTAAATAAATTGGTGAGATGTTATTTGTTGCGATAAAATTACGCATGACTTTCACCGGCCATAAGCTGTTTTCCATCTCTGTAAAATATAACCTCCCTCGTCTCCCGAATCCATGTGCATCTATCTACCTATCAGTTTACCCGAAACAAGGTAAGTTGGCCGGCTAAGTTAAACTTTAACCACCACTAACTATCAATCAAAGAACGACGTCAAATTATCCAATTAGATTCATGAACTTGAATTCAATGCTGTATAGCACTTGAGTCGTTTCAAATGCGTTCCCTAACGAAGTTACGGTTGCAGTTCGAGAAGGACAGTGTTTTCCAGTATAGCCTTAATTTGGTGTTGCTTAGGGGAGAGAATTTGTTCGTGTGGTGGTGTGATGAGCTTGAAAAGCTTTAGTAGGTCGACTCATGGATATGCCCATCGTTGTGAAATTTTATTATTTTTTATTTTTATTTTTGATTACAGCTTGATTCCACACTGTATTTTTGGTACAAGTATGGAATTTTCAGCATGGATATCGGTAGCCCAAATTTTGCAGGCCAACCATAGATATCAGGTGTGCGTCGGCGTGGGCTCGAATCCCGGACCATGTGCATGGTCGACGAGAGTCCTAACCACTGCGCCACCGAGTTAGCATTAGAGAAGGTAAGCTGATAATTTCAATATTTCTTAGGAACGTTTTTGCAAGTTTACATCTCTCTTTAACGGATACTTTGTATATTTACATTTACTAGATCTTAAAACAGCCAGTGAGATCCGCAGTTGCCGAAACCGAGAATAGCTTTGTCTCAACAATTCAATGGTATCGGCACTGCAGAGACATTCCATCATAGAAAATGGAGAAAATCACTTCTTTGTTGGGTGTAGAGGACATCGTTGCGCACGTCGACGAAACTGTGTTGCTGAAGAAAAACTACAACTGTGGTCATCAGTAAGCCTACAATATTTGGGTAATTGGTTAATACGACACCTCCCTCCAAAAAGGATTCGTGGATTGAATAGCAGATAGAAAGGCAAGGTCCTGGGTTCGAATCCCGGCCGGTGCGTACTGATGAAGAGTCCCAAACTAGGACGAAACAGCTGTCCAGTACTCCCAGGTTTTCCAATGGTTCTCTAACCAATGTCAGCTCATGGTGAAATCCTGAAACCAATCAAATCTCTACAAACCACCACCTGAATAAGAAAGGCAAATACTCTAAAACCTGTTATTACGAGACTTGTGAAACCGGGATCAATAATACATACGAATGAATGGAAAGGTTATAACTCTGTGTCATCTCTTGGATATATTCATCATAGAATGAACCATTCCAGTTATTTTGTCGAGCCTACTGCGAGGTTGAAAAATAGGATAAGGGCTACAAAATGGATCTCAAAAGGACCTCATTTATAGTCATTTGGCTGAATATATTTACAGAATGCGGTGTAACGTTTCTGTTGACACTCCTTTGCTAAACTGTGAGGTGTTTCCCTCATATGTTAGAATAAGATACCCTCTGCTTTTTTATGCTTTTTCCATAAATACACGTTTTCCTTTATCAAACACCCCTCTTTCATGTGACTGGTCCGTCCAAGGTCGTTTGCTGATTGGTTGTAAGTGGTACTGAAAGTATTACTTTGCCGATTATCCGTAGCCAGTGAACACTTTCCACGATGATACGAGAACATATTCCAGCACTCATTTACAAAACAGAAAAAAGAAGGCGTAAGAAACACTATTCTAGAACACTTGATCGACTCCTGTCACTCCTGTCACCATCTATTGAATCCATGCTAACTTTACGGCCACGTTTTCTTTGTTATAAACATTAGAGGCCTTGACCATTTATGAATTTAAGCCAGACCTTTGTGTACATAAGAAGTATGTACAATTCCTGCTCCTGCCTTGGCCGTAGAGAGATAGAAATTCATTTATTTTACTTATTTAGCTAATCTATATAACCTTCCCTCATTACTACGATTATTATTAATATTACTATTCTATATATATATATATACATTATACTATATTATACTATTATATATATATATATGTATTATAATGAAATTAGTAGAAAAAATATTGAATAACCAGACCGGTATCTTTCAAAACACTTACCTCACTAAGTCGAGGATGTGGAAAATCTCCAGAATAGCATACATTACCGTCAACAAGAACTTTGAGTATACTTCGTGTAACCAGCAGACGTCGAGAATGACAAAAGACAACAGCAACAGAATGCCATACACCTGGTGGTATTTTATCTGGTCCACAAGTCTATAAAATTAAGACAAAAAGAAATTTATCAGACACCTATATTGAATTTGAAACAAATAATGAACAAGTTGAATATGATAGCCTCCATTTACGCAACTGATTATTGCGCCAACTTTAATGCAGTGATAGACAATAGAAACTCGATATACATATATAAAGCTTAACTGATATTTTCATGTACTGGTTGTTGTAGGGGATTTGTTTGATGATATTATATTTATTATTGTTCCCTTGGGTTCCTAGTGGAACATAGGACGTCAACTGCACGTCTCCACTTGCCACTTCTGTCTTCCTTCTGCTGTACTTTTCACCTGCATCCATCCATGTTAGTCCATACTCTTTCAACTCCTCTTCACATGATCTCCTCCATGTCACCCTTGCACTGACGTCCCACTCGCCGCTTCCCTTTCACATTCCACTCGAGGGCCTGTCGCGCGATGTCACCAACCGACCTCCTCAGCTAGGGTCCATTCCATCTCCACTTTCTCTTGCATATTTTTTAGACGATTGGTTCTTGTTTTGCTTGTTTCCATAGCTTCTTGTTGGTGATTCTTTCCGGCCCGGTCATCTGATCTTTAGTATAGAGCGAAGACAGTTGTTGGAAGATTTCATCATGACCTGACATCAGTTGGAGAACCATTGAAAAACCTGGCAGTACTGGACAGCTGCTTTGTATTAATTTCAGAGTCTTCATCTGAATCGGGTCCCAGTGGCTTGGTGGTCAAAGAGCTCGCCTAATAGGACCAGGCAATAGGTGTGTACTGCCGAAGTGTTCCAAACTAGACTGACAAAACGGCTGTCCAGTACTACCTACTGGTCATCCAATGGTTCTCCAACTGATGTCAGCTCATGATGAAACTAGAAATCTCTACAAATCAAAATTTTAACTTCTAACTACGATGTGCGTCGGTGACACAGTGGTTAGGACTCTCACTGACCATGCACATGGTCCGAGGTTCGATCCCCTGCCTACGAAGCACACCTGATATCTATGGTCGGCCTGCAAAATTTGGGCTACCGATATCCATGCTGAAAATTCCATACTTGTACCAAAAATACAGTGTGGAATCAAGCTGTAATCAAAAATAAATAAATAAAAATATCCAGATATCATGGAGAAGATTTGTAGCTCACGTGGATAATTTTGATGGAGTTGCTTTTTCTCAGATGGATGGTTTATTTGCGAAGCTTTCATTGCCCTTCTAGGCAAGACCTTCAGCGCATACTACTTCAATTTGTTGAAGTAAGCTTTTAGATTTCATCCACGAGTTTATTAGCCATCTCTTCTGGTGACGTTGAACGTGAATGGTTGATTTTGTGTGTTTCCACACCCTCTAGGGCACTTTTGGTACTCGTACTGATTTTTTCCTCGAAATGAAGTTTAACCCCTTTGCATGTGAGATTTCCTTATTATTCATGGGTATATTTTGTCCATATCAATGTGTCTATTAATTGACAATTCACTGGAATATGAGGCTTCCAAAAAAATTCTCTGGCATTCTCGGTGTTTTCTCTGCCCAATATTTGAATGTTGGTTGTCCCAGTCGAATTGATATCCGTGCTTGTCTGTATGCGGCGATATGAGGAAGTGGGTGTCACATCCACCAGGAGAGATGACATTTCAAACTGTCTTGTTTAACTATCCCTCGGTTATATAGTCTTCATAAGGTGCATAAAGACTGTAATCCTCTGCAAGCTATACTGGATATGCTGAACGCCCCTTATTATTCTAACTTGAGAGTTTGTTTTCCGTCGCTGCACTCAATTCTATGTCAACCGAAAGACTCAACAGCGAAAGAAGACAAAACCAACATCATCTACAAAATAAACTGTAACAACTGCGAAAAACACTACATCGGCCAAAGTGGACGTCCCCTTCGTCTTCGTATCCACGAACATAAGCTAGCCGTCAAAAGACATGATATCCACTCCCTCATTTCACTACACACAGACAACCACGGACATCAATTCGACTGGGACAACGTTCAAATATTAGACAAAGGAAATAACAAGAATGCTAGAGAATTTCTAGGAGGCTGCTTGGTATTCCAGTGAATCATCAATCAATAGACACATCGAGATAGACAAAATTTATCAACCGATAAGAAAGAAACTTCACACACGATTGGCCAAAGTTCAAGTCACAGAAACAATCAGTGCCAATACCACAAGTAGCTTAGAAGGTGTGAAAACATACATAAACAACCAATCACGTCCAAGGTCACCAGGAGGAATGATTAATAAACTCGTGGAGAAACCTAAAAGCTCACTTCAATTTGAAGTATGCGCTGAAGATGTCACCCAGTAAGGTGATGAAAGCTTCGCAAACTAACTATCCAGCTCAGAGAACAAAACCACATCAAAATACATGGACAAACACCTAAATTATGTTTTCAAAAACATTTTGTCAAACCTCTTTCTTTACCTTGGTTATAATAATGTTCTTTTGTTATTTTATTTTATTTTACCACCTGAATTTATTCCACTTCACTTCATCTTTGCCGTCTTTACTGTCATCATCGTGGTACTCTTCATTTTTCAGATAACACTTGACTTACAACTTTAAAAGCTTTATATCAGTTCACTTATTTAATAATCTTTAAGAGTTTTGTAATTCATCCACTTCAACTCTACCCCGTGCTTAGCAGAACATCATTTCAATTATCTTTATTCTTATCATCATATAATAATAATGATAACAGCTTTATTCCAAACAGTATTTGTGGTACAGGTATGGAATTTTCAGCGTGCATTACAGTATATATTGCATCTAAATACCTCATAAATTATATAAGATTTTTAAAATCAAAGATAAATAAATAAATAAAAATAAAATGAATAAGTAATAAATAAGTAAATAAATAAAGTAAATAAAAATATAAAAACAGCATAGATTTTACATCTCAAACAATGCACCACAGGATATGAAATATGAAGTTGATGTGTGATAGAAGATGAGAACAACAGTGAAATAGTAACGAGGAAAGGAAAACAAAAACTAATGGGACTATTTGTTAGAGTGCCGAAGTAAGTTGATCGTGTCATACCTAACGGATTTCTCATCACATAACAGCTGTGCCAGATATGGTATTGTGGAGTTTTTGTATTTGGTGGTCCTAGCATATAGTCGCCTATAGCTGCTTCTAGTTCTACCAGATGAAATGCAAGGCGACAGCTGCGTGTAGAGAGGATGCTCGTGGTCTGACAATATTGTATTCGCTAGTTTCTGATTGGTGATGAAATCTCAGCACGGATCCAAAAAGCTCGAGCTGCTTTCGCTGACTTACACCATCTCTGGCGTAGGCGTGACATCCAGTTATCAACCAAGGGACGTGTGTACTGCTCAGCAGTTCGCTCCGTCCTTCTCTATGGCTCTGAAACATGGCCAATACGAGTTGAAGACATGAAAAGGTTGACTGCTTTCGATCATAGATGTCTGCGATCTCTGTCTCACGTTAGGTGGTTTAATAAGGTAAGTAATGCTGACGTTAGGCGTAGAGTGTTGGGCAGGCAAAGAGGGAAAATCAATCGACGAGGCTATAAAGTCACATAGATTGAGATGGCTAGGTCACGTGGTGCGCATGCTTAACCATCGCCTCCCCCGACGGGCATTACTAGCTGATATAAGTGCAGGTTGGAAAAGAGCCAGTGGTGGCCAAACAAAAACATGGCCTCATCAATCCATGAAATCCTTGACAGTTAAACTGAGTCAGTCAGGTAGGGAGATGCAGACTTCCGGGTTGGGGCCCTCGGGACTGACTCTAGGAATCAATGGCTGGAGACAATAGGTTACATGGCTCAAAATCGTTGTCAATGGCTAGCGCAGATGTATTCAGTCTCTGTAATCTTTAATATTCCTTTCTACCATTACCCATTCTGTTTCACTCTTATACTTGTCAGACTGTATTGATTCTCTTCACTCATCTTCTTGTCTACCTTTGTGTGTTATTTGGAACGTGGCAACTGGAAGTGCTGCACTTCGGTGCCAAGTTCCATGTTGAATCCAAACAGACAGAGACAGACCGACAGTTTCTTACATGACATTATATGTTTATCCAAAATAGTGTTAACCAGTTGGTTTAACGATATCCCACTTGCCTTACTCTAACGGCTTTTAGTGCCTGCCCTTCTCAGCAAAACAAAGTCTTTCTTAAGTAGTCCAGGAAAGATTACTGGGGAGCAATAAAGGGGGATGAGTAGAATACAAGAATTTACAAACTGAGAAAGCAAAGACTGCTTTATACCAGACTGCCTAAATTTCCTAATGTAGAACGTTAAGCGAAACATCTTTCTAGTAACTAGCAAGATGTGGGAAGACCAAGAAAGATCTGCAGAAAGACTCAGCCCAAGGTACTTGACATCAGATATATTTTCAACCTCTGTGCCGTCAGTGATAGTGTGGCAATATGTGTACTGTTGACTGAGAAATTTCTAATCCAGCCACTTCATGCCTTCTCTTTCCGTGATATAAATACGCGACTGTACAATTAGCTTGAAAATGAAGTTGTTGAAAAGAGATAGTATTTCTTCGCTGAACAAAAAACTATGTTTTTCCTTATGAATTATTGGGTATATTTCTCGATTTCCGTATATATTCAAGCAAAAAAAAGCATGAAAACTAGACACCTCGTTTTTAATTTGAATAAAGCAACACAACTACAGCGGTTTTCGCAGAATAAAATGTTACCATTAGCATTGCTTATTTCGTTGGCTTCTCATTAGCTGCTGCTGCTTACAGGCCAAAGTCATTATTAAGTATATCTACAGAAACAATTGTAACACACTTTCACAAAGAGAGAGAGTTCATTTTTAAACAACTTGCTCTTTAGTGCAATCGAAGATCTATAGATATCCTTCTCATGTTAACTTCAACTGTATATACAAATTTACTTGAATCTCAGGGAGTAGTTACATTCGGACGAACAGAAAGAATGGCATATCTACGATTTTCTAAACATGTACCAAAACGTCTATGTCAAAAAAGGAACAAATGCTTTCAAGAGTGCCATCGTCAGGCATCTACTTGACACAGGTCATGAAGAGGTGGATGTCTCAAGATAGTTCAAAATTATCAATAGGCAAAAGAGTTCACTCCTCCTTAAGTTTGTTGAAGTCATCTCCATCAAGCGCCTGAAACCCGATTTATGAATGTGTTCAGAAAGAGGCAATTATCAGTCTTTCATTGCCCAACCTGATAACTGGATATTTTGGTCCTCTCTTTCATCTGATTACGTAATGCCGAAAGTTTTCATTGTGTATGATCATTATTGTTCGGAATAAAGTGTTTATTGTTATTATATATATTATTAATGTATGTGTTTATCGATAGATTTTGTTTACAAATGAACTGTCTCTGTGCAAGTATGTTAAAATTGTTTCTGTAGATATACTTAATAACGACTTTGGCCTGTAAGCAGCAGCTTATCAGAAGCCAAGGAAATAAACGATGTGATGGTACCATTTTATTCTGCAAAAACCGCTGTTGTTCTTGCTTTATTCAAATTCACTAAGCGGAATAAATGTATGAAATCTCATTTTTAGTTTCAATCTTTAAAACCAAATCTAACGCAGTAGAAGTCAATTGGTGGATGGTGACTAGCAGCGCATTTCGTCCTATTTGGGACTCTTCATCTGGATGTGCCTGCATTCCGCAATGAGTGATAATATTTCCACCGAGGCTCGAACCCAGTGCCCAGACATCGTCGAAGCATCTGCACAAGAAGCCGACACACATGTTAACCTGAGACCGAGCACTTCGGTCCAATCAATCGACGGGAAAATCTAACATTGAATTAAATAATAAATCTAACATGTATAATTAAACTTACCACAACATAAGTGAAATCTTCTTGTGTTGCTACACCAATTACTAAATAACCATATTTTGTAAAAAATATTTCTAATCCACTACCATTTGAACATAATAAACGAAATAGACAATATCGTTTTTGATTGTTGATTTGTTGAAATTTACTAGTCGATGATTTTATGGTCTCTTCAACTGTTGACTGGTCGTCTATTGATAACCAAAAATGGAGACTTAAATCAGTTGACAGACTATTACGAAATACTGTTGAACATTTAACAGTACCACTAATATTCTGTTCACTAGTAAAAAGAAAAAATAAGAACATGCAATGTACTAGGAGACATAATCAAATGGAGAAAGAGATAGAGAGAATTAGCACACTTAAACAAATGCGAAATTTCGAAATAAAATAATCATTGGAAACATAAAACACAGAAGGATTACATAGGATATTAATATTGACTGAAATCAGTGATTAGAAACCATTAACTCTAGGCAGTAATGCGCTCGTTAGGCACTTTGAAGTGATCTAGAACAATTCATTTCTTCAAATCACTGGGATTCTCGCTCATTACTTGTAATGGGTGCAAGAATAAGTAAGCTGTGAATTTAAGCTATCATGATCTGATATCGGTTAGAGAATTACTAGAAAACCAACAACAAATCTTGGACATCTGTTTCATTTCACTAGTTTGGGACTCTTCAACAGTACGCATCAATCGCCAAGGTTCGAACTCAAGACCTCTTGGTTGTAAAACTAGCTCGTAAACCATTAAGTCACTGGGAGCTGATCGAATGACCGGCCTGTGAATTCCGACTTCTGTCAATTCACGGGATAGCACGACTGGCGGGTATTTGTCCTCATACCCAACCTTCTGTACTCCAGTGGTCACGAAGTTAAAATACAAGAGTCATTCGACTTTGGCTTAATTGGCGTGCGTACTGCTCAGCAGTCCTCTCCGCCCTCCTCTTTGGCTGTGAGACCTAGCCACTGAGAGTGGAGGATATGAAAAGTCTAACTAGTTGTCTTTGATCATAGGTGCCCGCGTTTTGTCTTCCGTATGAAGTGATATAATAGGGTCAGCAATATTGGGGTTGGGCATCGGTCGAGTGCTAGCTAAGGAGGAAGGGGAAATCAATCGACGAGGCTGTGAAGCTACATCGACTGAGATGATTAAGACATGTGTTGCGTATGCCTAGCCTAGTCATCACCTTCCTCGACGGGCAATGTTAGCTGACATAGGGTCAGGTTGGAAAAGATCTAGTACGTGATGGTCAAGCAAATCCACAACAGTTAGTTTAAGCCAGCCATGTAAGAAGGTGTAGACTGCTGTCTGGTTGGGGTCCACTGGAAGGTAAAAACCAGTGACTGGATACAATTGGTGATATGGCTCAAAATCGTTTCCAATGTCTGGCGCAGATGCATCCAGTCCTTGTGACATATAATATCCAATAAAACTATATCGTTCTTCGTTATTACTATTCCTTTCGCCTTATATCTGTGTTTACTGTCTCAATTGTGCATTTCATTTCACTTTCTTCTCTGGCTTTGTGTGCTGAATGAAGTGTGCCGACTCGAACTGCTGTACGTTGATGCAAAGTTCTATGTTGGAACCAGTCAGTCAGTCAGTCAGTAATCTGCCACATAGCCTGCTAGCTTGATCTCATTATCTAAAGGTCCTTAATTTCTTCGTGAACTCTCACAGCTGATGATTCGCAAATAAGAGAAAGACAGCTACCACATGCCTTGTGGTTTCCAGTGATTCCTAACTTTCACTGCGTAATATGGAGATGGAAACTGATTATTAGGAAACTGCATTCTTTTTTCGGATGAAATTCCATGACAGTTTTCTTTAGAAACCGAATATATTCAGATTACACAAACACACACACACAATATATGATCTTCTAATCACTTTACTTGTAACGGCGTGCAAAACAGGTTACATGTTGTGTGGTTCGATTTGAGGAATTAGTAGTGATTACCGACCGATACGAAAGTTATCTAAGCACCAAACAGAAATTTTTCTCAACTCACAGAACAAAATCAGTTCAAACCACTCCAGATCTGATCAGTTACATGGGAAATCTTAGACATTACTGATCAGAATGACCTCAAATGAGGGAAACAGCTGTCAAGTAGTTGGATCGTTTTGATCTAGCTGGCAAACTCCACTGTAGGCAGTAAGTGAACACTATACTGACTACTCGTATCCTTTAGTAGTATGTGTCGTGATATAGTCTTGACTTGGTGATATTAGATAGTTAGCGGCAATCGGCCACAGAAAGCCCTGCCTAGACCTAAGTTTCGTGCTAGTTGGCATGCACCAGTCAACAAGGCGTATCTGCAACCAGCTTGAAGGAACTCATGTCCTACGTCACCCTGTGACTGCTACAGTCAGAGACGTTACCAATGAGCTATTCGGGGTCGCGATTCACCTCCTTCCTGTAGGACTGTAGTGAATAATTTGATTGGACACTAGTAACTAGTGTGATGTGTCTAGTCTTTTCTCTGGTGCAGACTGAATTCTATCAGTCAGGTTTGCAATGTATCTCGTCAGAAGGAACATGAGTTCCTTCAAGGTGACTGCATATACGCCTTGGTGACTGGTGAGTGCCAGCTAGCACGAAATCTAGGTCTGGCACAAGGTTTCCTGCCGATTATCTACCTCCAACTATCTAATATCATCAGATGAATGTGCACCATGATTGCCAGCTACCTAAAATGATGGCCATATTGCAAACCTGACTGATAGAATTCAGTCTGCGCCAAAGAAAGGACTAGACATATCACACTAGTTACTAGTGTCCAATCATAATCTTAACTTGTCTGAATTTCCGCATGAATAGAATGTCTTGGTCGTAACTTCGTTAATAGCTATCCAGAATTCTGTTCATTTAAATTAACTAAGAACCACTCATAATTAGTACGTGGATTGTAGTCATCAAAAAGCTGATAAACATAATATTAGTAAAGAATAATTAGTTCGATATTATCACGAAACGATATCAGTTAGATAATCTTTTGAAAATCGGAGCATACTGGATGGCTGTTTCGTCTTAGCTTTGGACTCATCAGCCATACCCACCCATTATCCTAACGTGGCCTATTTCTGAAATATTCAGGTTACGAAAAATAAACCCGTTGACCCCAACATATAACTGTTCGCTCGCCTAAGTAATCCCCGTTGGCTGAAGAAATCCGATAGAAGTCCTATAGTTGTGTGACTTAGAGGGAACTGGTAATCCCTCAAAAGTCATAATTCCCTCTATTCAGTGCAACCGTCAGATAACAGATAAGTTTGGGTCTGACATGGAAGTCACGTGATCTAAAATAGTGATTTCAGTTAAAATAGGACTGGAAATATATAGAGGATATTCAGATTAGAGAAATGGTAATCAATCATGACTAAAGAATTTTCAATTCGAGTTTTCTGTAGAAATGAAAACCACTTATAAGACCGCAGGCCCCTGAAGTATTACTACGCTTATCTTTCTATTATTATCTGAGGTATTCATATAAAAACCAGTTGAACTGGTAATATATACGGCTGAGAGTTATTCGTGAAAATTAAGAACAGCAATGACAGTATGGGATTTCAAATCATATACATGCATCTACAACAGAATAGCTATGTTAATTATTATTATTGTTATTATTATTCCTCAGGATTTCGAGTAAAAACAGGGAATCAACAGCACGTCATATTTTCTGAGGTCTTCCGTAGCTAGCCCTATGATTTTTCAATGTCTTCCGTCCCCTGCCACCAAGATCTCATTCAGGTCACCCTAGAAAACCTATTCTGGTTGACAGGCACTTGAACTCGTGAAAAATGGGCTAAATCCATTCTTCATTTGACACTAGTAGCTAGTGTGATGCGTCTAGTCCTCTGATTGGTGTAGACTGAATTCTATCAGTCAGGTTGTAATGTGACCACCATTCTAGCTAGCTTGCCATCCCGGTGTACATTGATTTGATGGTATTAGATGGTTGGAGGTAATCGGCCACAGGAAGCCTTGTGCCTGATCTAGGTTTTGTGCTAGTTGGCAATTACCAGTCATCAAGGCGTATCTGTAACCTAGAAGGAACTCATGTCCCTTCTGAGATTCGAATCCGCGTCACCCAGTGCTGCAGTCAGAGACGTTACCACCCTCTTCATTTACAACTCTTCCCTTGTATCTCATCAGGCGAGATCAGACCAGAAGCCTATATAGAAAAGTATATGCTCGCACTAGAAATTACAAAAACTCAATCATACCCTACCTAGCTCGTGTTCTGTGCGATAAAGAAAGCATTAGGCGTGAAACTTATGACTTATTAAATAATCGGTAGAACAACTGGATCTCGTCTTTCCAACTCATATCATGTATACGTTTTCTTTCTTTCTTTTCCTTTTCTCTTTTTTGTTGTTATGTGCTGTTTTGTTTCTCTCTTCCTTACAAACTCTACTTATAACATTCTTGTTCGTTCTTTCACACTCTGTATATCTCGACCTTTTGTTACCGCTTACATCAGTAAATAGGCAAGCATCTAGTTTTCTTACACCTTCCAACACTCCGTTCACTTTTGGCTTTGCTACCGACCGACATGCCAATATGTTGTTTTCAAAATTTAACTGAGATTTCTTTAAACTATGTAAAATTTTGAATTGAATTTTTGATTTTCCCGTCGATTGATTGGACCGAAGTGCTCGGTCTCAGGTTGACATGTCGGCTTCTTGTGCAGATGCTTCGACGATGTCTGGGCATTTAGTTAGACCGAGCACTTCGGTCCAATCAATCGACGGGAAAATCAAAAATTCAATTCAATAATTAATATGACCCGTCGCACAAGAGGTGGCTCTCGTGGCCCAAGTGGTCTAGTGGATAACGCTTTGGCGTTTGAAACTATGGGTACTGGGTTCGAGCCTCAGTGGGAACATCATCACTCACTGAGAAATGCAGGTACATCCAGCTGACGAGTCCCAAATAGGACGAAATGCGCTTTATCCTGGATTCCACTGCTAGCCACCATCCACCAATTGTATATGTAGAATTTTCTTTATTGATAATGTACTAACTGGACGAAATACTGTAGTAAAATGCTGAGAATTCCATTCTGTATCGCTAGTACTGTTTTGGAATAATGCAAATTATTTTTGTTTTAACTTGTTGTTTCCCATTCAGATTCCATTGGAGTGATGACCTGGCTTACAAGCGATGCCATTCGACGGTTCCCTCAACGTGTGTCCTATCCATTTTCATTTTCTTCTACATATTTGTTGAGAAATCGGGTTTCGGTTGGTTTGTTCTCAGCAAGAGTTTCATGTTGCAAATTCTTTCTGATCTTCACGATGGAGCCAGGAAATATGACAGCTAATGGTAAAAGTCTACAGCTGGCTGTTGAAAACGCATTTACTGATGCATTCACCATTTTTCTGACCCACATAAAAAAGAACTGACTTGACACTGTGGAAAATCTGAATCTTATTCCTTTTGCGCTGGAGAGTGTAGAATATTTCCAAATCGGTTTCACAGTTACAAAGGTTTATCCCGTTTTCCTGATCCTGGCTAGTTTTGACATATTCATCCATTCCTCCAGCTGTAGTTGAAACCATACCTCCTAGATAACTGACTGAAGTTACCTCTTCTTTCAAGTTTGTTCCGTTGATAGGGATTTGTGCTGATTGTTTTCAGTTGGTTGTCTTCATCAGCTCCTTTTTCTCTAAATACACTTGAAGTCCTGTCTTCTCTGTCTGTTTCTTCTATCAACTTGTTGATTTTCGCCTGTAGGTCCCCAAGTTTGTATGGCATGAGATATAAAAATCTTCCATGCGCAAAATGTACATCTTCTAGTGTAACAACAGAAGACAAGAGCCAGGCAACAGATCGTTTATTATGAAAATCAACACGTATTTATACATATTTCAACTACATTATTATAGACAAGCGCAGTCATCTGATTGGTTGTTTATCAGAAGTTAGGCAGACAAACGCAGGCTTCTGATTGGTTGTTTCGGGATTCCTTGACAAATAGAGTTCTCTATCTGCGAATCATATTTTGCCACGTTAACTTTGCTGTGATTGATTGTTGAATCAGGCTTGTTCATATTTTCTCACGGCCCATATTAACGTAGCTTAGTGTCAACCAATCGGCCAGCAGGCTGCTCTCACCACACTAGGAGTCTTCTTATCAGTCCAGAGTATTCGTGTCGTCTCGCTTCTTATGGTATTGTGAAAATAAACGGTAATTAGATTTTGATGTGGTTTTGTTCTCTGAGCTGGATGGTTAATTTGCGAAGCTTTCATCACCTTACTGGGTGACATCTTCAGCGCATACTTCAAATTGAAGTGAGCTTTTAGATTTCTCCACGAGTTTATTAATCATCTCTCCTGGTGGATGACCTTGGACGTGATTGGTTGTTTGTGTGTGTTTTCACACCCTCTAAGCTACTTGTTTATTGGTACAGATTGTTTCTTTGACTTGAACTTTGACCTTTTGTGTGTGAAGTTTCTTTCTTATGGGTTGATAAATTTCGTCTATCTCGATGTGTCTAATGATTGATGATTCACTGGAATGCCAGCCTGGCTTCATCAATCAATAGACACATCAAGATAGACAAAATTTATCAACCAATAAGAAAGAAACTTCACACACAAAGGGTTAAAGTTCAAGTCAAAGAAACAATCTGTACCAATAAACAAGTGGCCTAGAGGGTGTGAAAATACACAAAAACAACCAATCACGTCCTAGGTCATCCACCAGGAGAGATGATTAATAAACTCGTGGAGAAATCTAAAAGCTCACTTCAAATTGAAGTATGCGCTGAAGATGTCACCCAGTAAGGTGATGAAAGCTTCGCAAACTAACCATCCAGCTCAGAGAACAAAACCACATCAAAATCATCCACCTGAGCTACAAATCTTCTCTATCATATCTAAACGGTAATTAGGTCGCTTGAACTGATTCACAATGGGTATATTATTGTTTATACCACAAGAATCCTGAAAGATACTATTACTTTCACTAAGTCTGATTGTATAACCAAATAAAATCAATCACTTACGATCTTAAATTTTCTAATTCTGGTCCAACTGGAACAACAAGTAGACAATCCTGGGGTCGACTGAATTGAAACCAACTCCCAGAATTTGGTAAAGGGCCTAAATTCAGTTGAATTTTCTGCGTAATTTTTACAAGAGCCTAAAATGGAAAAAGTGTTAGTAATAATATTGAAGTCAATGAGAGGATTACATTAGGTAATCAACAAAATATTACGTAATGAATTACAAAATTATTATTATATTACTGTTATCGTTGATTCATGGAGGAACAAAGGGTTTCAGTCGCATGTCTTCATTGCGTTCGGTTTTCTGCGAACGTTTCCACCTGGCTCCAAGTCTGCCTACATCCTCTCATCTCCTCTTTACATCACCTCCAACTCCTCCATGTCACCCTCATACTGACGACCTATGGTGAGAGCAGGCTGCTAGCCAACTGGTAGACATTAATTTACGTCAATGTCTAGGTCACAAATACTGGCAGTGAGAAAATATGAACAAGGCTGATTCAACAACCAATCACAGCAGACTTAACGTGGGAAAATAAAATTCGCAGATAGATGGTTCGACTTTCCGAGAAACCAGAAGCAACCAATCAGAATACTGTGTTTGTCTGCTTGAATAAGCTATAATAATGTACATGAAATATATATATATAAATACGTGCTGATTCCCGTAATCAAACGATCTGTTGCCAGCCCTTGTCTTCTGTTGTTACAGACCAACTAACTCACCGCCTCTCATTCGAGTTCCACTCGAGCAATTGCCTGGTCTGTGATGGATGTCACTCACTTGATGGTTTGTTTTCGTAGAGTATGGCCAATCCACCTAACTCCATTTCTCCCTTCATATTTGTTGCACAATCGGTTCGCACTGGGTTGGTTCGCTCCCAAGGGTCTCTGTTACTGATGTTTTCTGGCCGGCCATCTGATCTTGGGTAGTACTGTGTGAAGACAGCTGCTGATGAAGGTGCGTAGTTTGTTCACAGTGCCCTTCGTGACGCAGCGCGGCACCAATTCTCTGATCCGCATAGTAGCAATGACTTCACATTGGAATTGAAAATCTGGGTCTATTTTTGCATTCTGATTGCTGTTGGCAACCACACAGACTTGATGAGAGTAATAAAAGTTTCCTGGCTCATCCAATCATCGCTGCTTGGATATCCTAGTCAGTTCCATCCACATAAGTGGCGTAAACGGGGTCTACAAGGACTGGATCGTTCACATGACGCTTTTAGTATGGAAGGCTACAAAACAGAAATTAAGCCAAGCATATATAATACCTTGGAATAGTTCTATCCTCTGGCCTTTTTTGGTCATCCCATATCTTATCATTTTCTAAGAAATTATTTCGCCTAACGTTCGACATTAAGGAGTCAAGACAACCAAGTATCACTGAACCTATACTCTTACAATTTGTTAACTCTTACATCTCACCTATTGTTCTTTACTGCCCCCTGGGCTACTCAAAAAGGACTGTTTATATTGCGAAGGTTACTAAAGACTGTTCGTAAGGGTAGTTTGTATGCCACTTAAACAGATCGTTGCTATTGCAGTCGATAAACACCTAAACTCACGAGAGAAATTGGCTTAGTCCATATTGACTGACTCTCACAGACACCGTCTGTATTCACAACTCTCTCCGCTTTACATCTCATTTGATAGATTGATTATATGCTTACTGGTACAACCAAGTAAAGAAAATCAACGAAACGCAATTTGGCTGGCGTCCTATGTGATAGTGATAATTTTAAGCTGCTATTATTAATCTTGTAATATTATTGTTGAGTAAATTAGATGTAACAATATTGTCGTTGATGCTGAGAATTCCACGTTGTATCTCAGAAGTGCAGTTTTAGAATAAAGCAAATTATTATTACTATTATTAAAAGATATTAAGTGTGTTGCATAAACTTCAGGGGAAAGCCAACAAACTGGCTGAAGAAAGTGACAGCGAAGATAGGAGTGTAGGTGAACATAGAGAAAGTGAAGAAGGAGATTTCTATAGTTTGGTTAGTAAGGATTAGTTATGTTTTACGGGTTGATCACGGATTGATATCAGTTAGAGAACCATTGAAAACCAGGGAGTACTGGACAGCTGCTGTTTTATCCTAGTTTGGGAATCATCGTCAGTGGGCAGCCACCACCAGGGTTTGAACACAGGAGCTTCCGATTACAAGACAAGGTTGTATATCATTCAGCCACTCATTGAGACCCGATTCCCCACTGGCCAGTCCATGAATTCTAACCTCTACCATTTCGTGAGTTAACGCGACTGGCACCACCAACCAATGTCATCGGTGGGTGGGAAATCCAATCTAATCCTTACACAAACCAACTCTTGTACATCAAATGCACCAATATTGTAGTTAATTCTGGGAACTCAACGCTGTATCTTTAAAGTACTGTTTATGAATAAAGCAAATGATCACTGTTATTAATAAATTTTTGTTGCTGAAATATTCCCCACACTGTGTACTACGACTGATGTCACGTTTTTTGACACTTGCTCTCTGTCTGTATGTCTGTCTGTTTGTCTATCTATCACTCTCTCTGTGTGTGTGCGTATGTCATACCCTTCAAAATCAAAATATGATCGGAGGCATCTTCTCCAAGGCCCACTATTCCATGCGTCAGTCAACAACCTCCATTTTTAATCTATGCTAAAGTGAATCAAACGAAGGAGTTAAGTCAACTAACTACACATAATAAAATGCTTCTACATTTTAAACAAATGTCAGTCAATAGTTAAACCTGTCACTGAGTCAATGTGTTCTGCGTAGACAAAGGGTGAAAAAAAAGTAACTGAAAGAGACACATTGACATCAGTAGATCAAATACCATAAGAGCCATGTGCTTTTACACCTATAAGCATAACGGTTAGCCTATTTAACTAAAACTATTATTAAAAAAATTAGTCCCTTTGATAAATTTGAATAAGGCCTTAAGAAGACAAATTTCGCGAGATTTTTATTTTATTTATATTTTTTTTTGATTTACAGCTTGATTCCACACTGTATTTTTGGTACAAGTATGGAATTTTCAGCATGGATATCGGTAGCCCAAATTTTGCAGGCCGACCATAGATATCAGGTGTGCGCCGGCGTGGGATCGAACCCGGACCATGTGCATGGTCAGCGAGAGTCCTAACCACTGTGCCACCGACGCAGTTGACAGCTCAAAGACTTCGGTCAGCTATCAAACGCACATTCTACGCCACCGCATGTCTTTTTCTCACTTGCCGAACATTTTCGATCCCTGTACCTACGAGTAAAGGACGAAATTCTGCGGACTCTACTTCAAACTGTATCTACAAGTTCACCTGCAGCTGCGGTGACACCTATATAGGTAGAACTAACAGAATGTTCCAATGTCGTCGAAAAGAACATGTTCCAAAATGGCTAGTAAATCATATCGAAAATCCTAACGCGATTAATCTTAATAGAAATCCAGCATCATCCATTGCAAAACACTTATTAATGTCTGGTCACAAAATAAATATTAATGACTGTTTCACAATTATTTCATCACATAACTCTAATTCAACGTTGGTTATTGAAGGTGATGGAAGCACTTTGGGGATTAATCACATACAGCCTAAACTGTGTGTACAAAAATCAATAGACTTCAATCTTCGCCTACCCTGGACTACATGACCTATCTAAATATGATTGGTCACTAGTATATACTTTTGTTTTTATTTAACTGAGTAATTTTCATGAACTTTATTTTATCATTGTTAACCATGTTAGTTGTAAAGCGATTGTAAAGAAACAACGAAATGACGATATCATCTCGAGAAATTTGTCTTCTTAATACCTTATTCAAATTTATGAAAGGGACTAATTGTTTTAATTATTAAGATATTTGAACCAATGAGTGAGTTGTGACCAGGAGGGTCATAGAAACGAAGGAAAATATAGAATTACGTAAGAGTTCTAAAGAAATAGTACAGGAGTTATAAGGAGTTAGAAATAAACGAGAAAACAAAAACCAAGCTGGTAGAAGTCAACATGGTTGTTACCAATGATAGTAGAAATGGTTGATTAATTTCATTTTGTATACATAACTCTGGTTTCTCCAACTGAATGGCTAAGGCTTCAGGTAATATAAAGGAGACGAAAGTATGTATTGCCTTTGGTCGGTTGTTCTTCACGTTCTTCCACCATGGTGCTTTTTCTTGAGTTTATAACAAATATGAAAGTTTTTGAGTTTGAAACGTTTTTATAAAATCCCGGGAGTGAATAATACGATTAGAATGCATAATTTAATATGTAAACACCAATGAAATATGAGTAAATAGATGCAAAATGTACATTGGAATATGGTAGCCCAAAATGTTCAAACAGAGGCCGTCAAGGTCATCCATTCACCAAGTGGACAGACGTAGTGTCTTCAAAGTTATCTATCGAATTCCATGGAGTCTTTCGAACGGAACCAGAACCTGTCTTTTACACTTAGCCGAAGCTATGGGTATTAAATAGAGAGAACAATCCTAGTCTTTGCATACAAAAGAAGTTTGTCCTACCTTCGTCTTTTCTTTGGCCTAGGTAAAGTCCAATTAAAACCCCCTCACCCTTTCTTATTTTCTATCTCCTTTGTACTTTTATGATATCTATTTAAACTCTGATTGTCTATCCACTTCACCCTGAGTATTACGTAACTTTTAGGATGTGGCTTAATTTATGTATTGAATTGAATTGTCTACATATACACATATCTCTCACTACCTGTGTTATTCTTATCGCCACTTGCATAAACCTTATTATCATTATTTTGTTATCATTACAATCATCGTTATTAACTATGTTCAAAGCATTTACCACATTATTATTAGTATTATTATTATTTGATCCACAAAATCACCGTCATTGATTAAATTCTATTTTATATATAAGTCAATGTAAATTAGAGTAAAGCCTAAAGAAGATCTAATTGAAAACGACGATATTGTTCGCTTATATGCGTCTTGTTCTAATATTATCATTAGGAATAATTAAAGATCTTCTAAGAACACTATCCAAATTTATAAAAAGGACTAATTGTTTTAAAACTTTTATCAATTCCTTTTCTAACATTTTTAAAGTCGAGTCGATGAGCTCCTTATAACAATAATTGTGATGTTTCATAACTGGTTTTCTTTTTTGTCATAATAGTTTTAAATAAGGCATTAAGAAGACAAATTTCTCGAGATGATATCGTCATTTCGTAGTTTCTTTACAATCGCTTTACAACTAACATGGTTAACAATGATAAAATAAAGTTCATGAAAATTACTCAGTTAAATAAAAACAAAAGTATATACTAATGACCAATCATATTTAGATAGGTCATGTAGTCCAGGGTAGGCGAAGATTGAAGTCTATTGATTTTTGTACACACAGTTTAGGCTGTATGTGATTAATCCCCAAAGTGCTTCCATCACCTTCAATAACCAACGTTGAATTAGAGTTATGTGATGAAATAATTGTGAAACAGTCATTAATATTTATTTTGTGACCAGACATTAATAAGTGTTTTGCAATGGATGATGCTGGATTTCTATTAAGATTAATCGCGTTAGGATTTTCGATATGATTTACTAGCCATTTTGGAACATGTTCTTTTCGACGACATTGGAACATTCTGTTAGTTCTACCTATATAGGTGTCACCGCAGCTGCAGGTGAACTTGTAGATACAGTTTGAAGTAGAGTCCGCAGAATTTCGTCCTTTACTCGTAGGTACAGGGATCGAAAATGTTCGGCAAGTGAGAAAAAGACATGCGGTGGCGTAGAATGTGCGTTTGATAGCTGACCGAAGTCTTTGAGTTGTCAACTGGCTAATCTGGTCGCCCTTGAATGGTAGATTAATAAAGATGGCTTTCTTTGGTACAGAAGCCGTCTTTTCGAGATGTGGTTTTTCGTTGCTGTGACAAGTGATAAAGCTCTCCGGATAACCATTAGCTAATAAAACTGAATGTACATGTCGAAGCTCATCCGTCAGTGTGTCACTCGTGCATATTTTTCGGGCCCTTGAGAACAAACATTTCACTAGGGAACGTTTATACTGGATAGGAACAAAACTGGTAAAATGAAGATATTGTCCACTCCAAGTCTGTTTACGAAAAATAGAGCGCTGAATCGTTCCATCATTTCTCCTAGTGATAGTAATATCCAGGAAACCGAAATTTGTCTTCTTAATGCCTTATTCAAATCTTATTAATTAACTATAATATAATTGGTGGATGGTGACAAGCAGTGGAGTCCAATATGCGTATTTCTAATTACTTGCCCAGACATAGTCGAAGCATGTGCACAAGAAGCCGACACACATGTCATCCTGAGACCAAGCACTTCATTCCAATCAATCGACGGGAAGATCTAGAATTCAATTAAATAATTAATCTGACCCGCTGCACAAGAGGTGTCTGGCTCTCGTGGCCGAAGTGGTCTAGTGGATAACGCTTTGGCTGGCGTTTGAAATTATGGGCACTAGGTTAGAGCTTCGATGGGGAAAGTATCACTTAGTGGGGAATGCAGGCACATCCAGATGACTGGTGAGTCTCAAATAGGAGGAAATGCGCGTTGTCCTGGATTCCACTGCTAGTCCACCATGCATCAATTAACTTCTAATTACATGCCCAGATATCGTTGAAGCATCTACACAAGAAGTCGACATGTCAACTTGGGAGACCGATCACTTCGGTGTAATCAACTGACGGGAAAAATTGAAAAGTGAATTATGTAATACACTTGTTCAACTTTTTCTACGTATTGACTAATATTAATAACTATGCTTGTTACAAGGCATATAAGCGAAAAATACTGTCGTTTTCAATTAGATCTTCTTCAGGCTTTACTCTAATTTACATAGATTTATATATAAAAATGTTTTAACCAATGACGGTGATTTTGTGGATCAAATAATAATTTAACGAGGACGCGGCTAGTGAAGTCTTACACCTGATATTATCAAGACCGATAAAACGAACTTATACTGCCACCACCCTTTGTTTGTCATTTTCCATAATTGCTCAATTGAAAGACAAGCTATCTAGCTGTGCCACTCACATGTGTATCAGTAAATTTAGTTGATCCTGTGGAGCCGGCTATATAGGGCGAACAACTAGACAGCTTAACAAACGCATTAATGAGCATCTTCGACCATGGTTTGGAAAATGCCAAATAAAATCTATAGGAAGTTCTGTTTTGACCCATTTGATTGATAGCGGTCACCCAGTGGACAGAAGTAGTCCCTTCGAACTTATCTATCGCATTCCATCGAGTCTTTCGAACGGAACCAGAGCGCGTCTTTTACACTTAACTGAAGCTATGGGAATTCTTGAGAACAATGCTAATGCCTTTGCATACAAAAGAAGTTTTTTCTACCTTTGTCTACCTTTGGCGTAAGTGAATTCTATTCAAAGCCCTCCCACCCTTTCTTATTTTCTATCTCCTTTGTACTTTTATGATATCTATTTAAACTCTGATTGTCTATCCACTTCACCCTGAGTATTACGTAACTTTTAGGATGTGGCTTAATTTATGTATTGAATTGAATTGTCTACATATACACATATCTCTCACTACCTGTGTTATTCTTATCGCCACTTGCATAAACCTTATTATCATTATTTTGTTATCATTACAATCATCGTTATTAACTATGTTCAAAGCATTTACCACATTATTATTAGTATTATTATTATTTGATCCACAAAATCACCGTCATTGATTAAATTCTATTTTATATATAAGTCAATGTAAATTAGAGTAAAGCCTAAAGAAGATCTAATTGAAAACGACGATATTGTTCGCTTATATTAGAAGATGGAGATTATCTGAAAAACGCGATGTGATGTATCCGCACAATATACATTTCGAACAATCTGGTCACACACACACACATTTACCTGTCAAGTCGATATATATATATATGAAAAAATTAAGGGCAATGAAATTAAGCAAAGTGAGAAAAAAGGAATTTAAAAGCGATTAACACAAGGTTTGGTAATCCAATCAAATAAAGATTACCAAGGTAGACTAAGAGTAATAATAAACTGTTTTTGAATACTCAAGGGGCGGGGGTCTAAGTTTATGAATAGCTATCGCCTCAGCGTATTTCAATAAGCACCCTTGACCGTTTTTATAGATGATCTTAAAGGCTGTGTTAACATCAGTCTTATGGTTCATCTCGATTAGATGTTTAGCTATAGACGAAGTTGGCAGTCTGACACCTGCATCTATTGGTTTTCCATAATCCATTTGTTTTTCTAACCATTTCGGGATATGCTCTCCCAGCCTCACATGGAAAGCACGATTACTCCTCCCTATGTATTCGTGTACATACACACATGAAAATGGGTAAATAGTGTCGGATGTGACATTACCACTTGTCCATTTATGAGGTTTGCAGTAGAGCATACTATTAGCTTTTTCCACAATTACAATCTGGGCTGCATAGTAGGTTTTATGGGTGACCGAATTTAACCTTTGTCTCAAAATCTTAGTGTATATTTCCCCGTTATGTGGTTATTTGATAAAAACATTTTTCTTAGAGGCCGTTTAGATTGTAGGTTTAAAGACTCATTGACTTCTACACCTGTTTAAAATTTTGAAAGGATATCCATTTTCAACAAGAGTATCCATCGGTATTTTGTTTTCTTTGTCTATAGCATCAGCGGTGCAAATACCTTGAATCCTCTTAAACAGACACTTCACTAAGCGTTTCAAGGTCATTGGTGCGGTCGTACTCCATTGGTAGTTAGTGGAGCTTAAAGTTTAACTTGGCCTTGTTGACATGAGATTAGGATACATTAACCAGAGCACTAAGTTAATTAGTTAGTTAGTCAGTACCGATTCGTAGTTCCGGCCATTATATAAATCAGCTTCGGTTATAGAGCGAGAATTGCCATCTTAAGCGTATTATATTCGTCGATGGTCGATCAGTGGTAGATTGCTCTCCAGCCAGGCAAACACTCCATCTTCCCTTGCCGGCCGACTCACTTTTAAATCTCATTTAGCAGGTAGTAGACGCGATAGAGAGGGAAGATTTGATGTGAGGCTGTCCACACCATCCCGTACACATCAACACCTTCATTACTGAAACCTTAGAACTCAAGCTTGAGTCCTTATGTTCCACTCGGATTGGAAAGAAATTAAAAATGAAAGTAATTCAACCGCATTATCGGATAAAAGCAATACTGATCAAATATTTCTCGTTTCATCTGTAAACATACCTTCAATATTTGACTACAAAATATTCTGACTGATTCTGAACGAAGCATTTTTAACAGATGTGCTAAATCTGGCGCTGACATCGAAAATTCTCCAAGACATTCAAGTATTCTTAGGAACATCTCGAAAATTTTACGTGTTTGACAAAAATGATTCTTCACTTCCTGAAAAAAGACAAACAACAAGAAAGGAAAAAGTTATATTCGAACGGAATTAAAACCCGTCTTTTACAATTAGCCGAAGCTATGGGAATCAATTCGAGAGAACAATCCTACTGCCTTTGCAAACAGCAAAAGAAGTTTGTTCTACCTTTGTCTCTCTCCCTTGCCTGGCCTAGGTGATTTCTAATCGAAACCCTCTTACCCTTTCTTATTTTTCATTTCCTGTATACTTTTATGATAATTATTTAAAATCTATCTGTCCACTTCACCAGCCTTTAGTATTACGTAACTTTTAAGATTTGACCCAAAAGTTATTATATTTGTTAAAATCTCAACTATATTGAAATAAAACATAACAAATGTTACATCATTTGACAAACTGCTCTTAACTTCCTCAAGTAGAATTATTGAAACTGAAGTTATTTTTGGGCTGCTTGTTTAATCGTGTATGAAGTTATGACTAATTTTCCAAACAAATCTTCATCAAAGATCTACCTATCATAGCTTTAAAGAAGTTTGAATGCTTGAAGGTTCAAACCTCTAGGAATTGACATCGTACACAAACCAACAAAGTCCCTTCATTCAATTCAATGTCAACCAAAAGACTCAACAATGAAAGAAGATAAAACCAACATCATCTACAAAATAAATTGTAACAACTATGAAAAATACTACATTGGCCAAGGTGGACGTCCCCTTTGTCTTCGTATCCATGATCATAAGCTAGCTGTCAAAAGACATGACATCCACTCCACCCAACCAGAAACAATCTGTACCAGTACCACAAGTAGCCTAGTGGGTGTGAAAATACACAAAAACAACCAATCACGTCCAAGGTCATCCACCAGGAGAGATGATTAATAAACTCGTGGAGAAATCTAAAAGCTCACTTCAACAAATTGAAGTATGCGCTGAAGATTTCACCTAGTAGCGTGATGAAAGCTTCGTAAATCAACTATCCAGCTCAGAGGACACAACCACATCAAAAAACAATAAATTGTGTTCGTAACCTTGCCGTCCAGTAAATAATACTGTTTCCTCACTGTGTGATACATCTAATAAATAAACTAATATGGTGTAGGAAGTTGAAATAAACGTCAGACATCAAATAACAATGAGCAATTATACCGTGTACTGATATGTCATCCTCGAAAGACGGCTTTAGATACATACACATTCAGGAATAGGCTGTAGTTACCTTGGTCACAATAGCGTAATTAACTGACATACAGAGTTCATCGCACAGAACGAAGTTAATGACGATAAGATAAAGTTACTAACCTCACTAGAGAGTATCAAAAGCTCATATCTGAGATTCACAAAATGAGTTTCTCTTCAAGATTAGAGAAACACCTTTTTTGACGATTGCTAAAAATTACCAAATGTAAGTTGTCTAGGTATATGGCATATGCACATAAATATATCTGATAAATAGCCCTGCTTGAGATAGGCCATGTGCACTCCAGCATAGTTACAAGCTCAACAAAAACAACCAAACTTTAACAATATTTTTGTATTTCTAAACATTGGCCAAGGATGTACCTCAAGGACGGTGGGGGCTTTTGATGTTACATAGTTCTCTGTCTGTCTGTCTATCTGTCTGTTTTCGAAATAGAACATTGCACAAATGTGCGGAATTTCAAGTCGCCACACTCCGTGTAGCACGCGAAGCAAGAGAAGAAAGTATAAGAAAAGCATAATAGAAACTGTGAGCAGAGGTGTGAGACAAAGGAGGAGTAATAACGAAGAACAAAACAGTTTCATTGGAGATCATAAGTCACAAGGAGTGGATGCATCTGCGCCACTGAGAACGATTTTGAGCCATGTCACCAATTGTTTCCAACTATAGATTTTTACCGTCCCGAGGACCCCAGCCTGGAAGTCTACACCTTCCTACGTGGCTTAGACCAACTGTTGTGGATTTCATTGACTGGTGCAGCCAAGTTTTTGTTTGACCGCCGCTAGCTTTTTTCCAGCCTGACCCTATGTCAGCTAACATTGCCCGTCGGTCGAGGAAGGCGATGACTAGGCATGCACACGTAGCACATGTCCTAACCATCTCAGTCGATGTAATTTCACAGCCTCGCATATTGATTTCCCCTCCCATCTACCGAGCACTCTACGCCTAACCTCAATGTTGCTCACCTATTATGCACCTTCACACGGAAGATAGAATGCAGGCACCTATGATCAAAGACAGCTAGTGTTTTCATGTCTTCCACTCTCAGTGGACAGGTCTCACAACCATAAAGGAGGACGGAGCGGACTGATGAGCAGTACACCCGCCCTTTGGTCGATAGTCGAACATCTCGTCTACGCCAGAGTCGGCGTAAACTGGCAAATGCGAAACGAGCCTCGTGTATTCGTGCTGAGATTTCGTCAGAGATCAGCCCGTTGGCACTGGCTGATGGTACTTCCCAAATAAGTGAAGCGGTCAACGTGCTCTACCACTTCACTTCCTATTTTTAAACTAGGTGTCGATGTAGTAGAGAACAGAGTTCTCTAAACCGAACAGTTTAATTGCGAACATCTCATTATCTGTCTAGTCAGCATCTTCAGTGCAAACTTCAATGTGAAGTCTGCACATACTCTCTCACATGACTAATTCTTTATTATCGTGAGTTGGTTTGCACGGATTTAACTGGCTGTAGGATGGATCACGAGAAGACCTTTGGAAACTACCAGGGCCTACTAGACACTTACTTCTTTCTGGTTTCGAAGTCTTCATTAGTATACACCTACCAAGGTCTGAACTCAGGAACTTCCCAGTAACAGGGTCAGCTCATAGACCATTCAGCCAGTTAGCTCTCTAACTTGTGTTAGCCCACGATCAATTCCATAACTGTTCATCAGTTGATATGTCTGAGTACCATTTTCTAGCTAAATTGACATCCATAATTCTCCACATGCATTAATATGAAAGTGTAGGTATCATGGGTCTTGACGGGCGGCTTAAGTTATTGAATTCTAAGACAAATGGGACGTGTCCTCAGACCTAAATAGTGTTTTTCACAGTTGATGGAATTTATCTTGGTCTGTTTAACATTGAACGAAGCCATTGTGTCTGTTTTTGTACAATATTTCAAAACGGTTTCAGTATTCTAGGCATTATTTGAGAAGTCTTCTCGACAGAATCCTTGCTACTTGTATACAGATTGAACTGACGTTTGATGTTGCTGAGTTCCTCAGTCTCTTTCAGAAGTAACATCTCTTCAGAGCTATTTTCTAATAACTGAAGTGTATTATCGACAAGGAGGATGAAAGTTTCGCAATGAAAACCATTCAGCTAAGGGAAGACAAACACCGTTGAAAACATATACCTAGGCTACAGATCTTTTCCACTGTTTCAACGATTGATGCCGTCGTTTAACAAAGTACGTAGAATAAACAAATAAGACCAATGCAAACACACTTCAGTGGAGATGATTATCCACGCAGACCTATAAGCGATTTAGATCAAGCGCTTTCGTATATTTCCCTTGCTTATCAAGGTGTATCCAAACAAAATTAGGCGAAATCCTCTTACATATTTCTTCTAATTGTATTTAGTAATTTGCCTATAAGTGCTAAAATAAGTGCATTTAATGAATATAAAGATCTTTGGAAAGAACACCGAGTTGACCTCAAAACACCATCTGAGCGTCCATACAATGAGATGGCTTATCAACATAGATCCAGCATATCGGTCTAATAAATTCTGTTAGCAAGCAATTCAGAATTATTCCAACAATCAAACAACTGATACCAACTTCACAAGAGATGATTCTCGTGACCTATTAACTTGGTTGGTAGCGCTTTTGGTCCAAAGTTCGAGTCCCACCAGGGATACCTTCGCTTCCTGGGATGCAAGTATTTCCAACTGACAGGTATCATGTAAGAAGAAATTGTTCGGCGCCGTCGACTAAATAATTTAAGGTCTCCTCCATACTTTATTATAAGAACTCTAAGAAATTTCAGTGCGACAGAACTACACATCAACTTCAAATGCTTAGGTATCAGGTATCTACTAGACACATTATATGTTGCATACCATCTATTTCAAACTAGTATACAATTCAGTGAAGGTTGCCCTCTTTTTCTTGATAGTTATGACTTCTATCTCGGTGTATCTTCCATTAGAGGTAAATAGTGAAGAGCGCACCTCTGATTCTCTGAATATGTACCAAAAAGCCTAAGTCTTAATGGAACAAATGTTTACAACAATGCCATTGCCAGACACCTCATCAATACAGATCATGACGTGGACAACACGAAAATCCCTTAAAATTACCACTAGATAGAATAGTGGTTATTAAACGCCTGAAATCCGATTTATATGTTCAGAAAGAAGTAGTTATCAATCTTTCCTTGCCCTGGTAGCTAGTAGCTAGTAGATTCTCCACCCCCTTAGATATAAGATAACTTCATTTGTCCCTTCTATGGTTTAGGGTTTGAAATCCTTAGGGGGGACATCAGTTTCTCTAAGGTTGCAGATTAGCCCAACTAATGAGGCGCGTAGTCTAGGTCAAAGCTCCCGTCCAACTTCCTCCTTGCGGTGACTACATTCCATAGTTCACTGAGAGAATTCAATGAGCGCCAACTCTAAGAACTAAATCCCTGACATCGGTTACTCGTCTAGCAGCCCCTGCAGTGCTAAACAAATTCACTCCTAACCTTGAATAGCTCAATGGTAAATTCATTAACTACAGTACAGAATGGCGCCTTGCTGGCGCATTCCAACAGGCATAACACTTAGGTTGGATGATTTCTACCGGTTGCCTTCAACCATATAGCATCATATGGTATTTTTCCCGCTTATTTGCGCATATTTCTCTTCGTGAATTAACTAAACATGAACGCTAAGAAATATGCTATAAATCCATTGGTCTGTATAAAAGTGCTAATTGACATTTAAGATTGATAACTTAAATGCCAACCAGACTGTAGGACACCTTAAATGATTCATTCCAACTGTTAAACACTTGCTGTAAATCAGCTAACTATATAACTCACCATTATAAACT